CTTCGTCCGCGTTGCTGGATCGTATTCATCCTCGGGATTCTGAATCACGGATGCGAGCCGCCCCCTCCTCTTGCTATTTCAGCATGTGTTCATTCTGTATTCTCTGGCGTATTTCGAGGTTACCTTCCTTCTCGCTTAACTTGTCTGTCTGTCTCTGTGCGTCTGTCCGTCTGTCCGTCTGTCGGTCTGTCGGTCTGTCGGTCGGTCGGTTGGTCGGTCTGTCGGTGTCGGTCTGTCGGTGTGTCGGTCTGTCGGTTTGTCGGTCTGCTGTCGGTCTGCTGTCTGCTGCACACCCGCGGTTCGTTTTGGCGGGCTGGTTTCCCCCCCTCTGGGAGATTTTCTCGCAGAGGGCTCGGCTGTAACAACAGAGATGCTCCCCTCGGATGTTGACTATGTCTGGACTCCATACCAAGGATTAATCTATCTGTCTCTTCCGTCTCTCCGTCCATCCGTCTCTGCGTCACTCCGTCTTGCTTGCTTGCTTGCGAGGCGTGTGGGAGGTAGGGAAGGCCCCTACACCCCCTGCGCGCGAGCGCTACGCCACTGTTCGTGTCTTGAGTGAGACTTGGTGACGCAGCTTGGCCAGGTGGGATCTCCAACTCAACACCCACAAGTCACTTAGTGCAAACCATGTAGTCCCCGCCTGGCCGAGCTCGCGTGTGTCGGTGCAGGTTATCCGTAGGTTTTCTACGGCGTGTCTACTTGTGTCCCCGAGCAGGCAGCCGAGCAAGTACCGAAGCCCTTTCGACTACGGTGCTAGTTTCCTTAGTGCCACAATGTAGAACGTCTTGAGCTCTGGACACTGTTTCGAACTCTCTCGTCTGTTATGGTGCAGGTTTGGTGGATCCTATGTTGCTTGTGACAGTGCGGGTCCCGGAGGGAAGCAGCGTAAGGGGAAAAACAGGCAACACACTAGGGGGTTGTTACACACTCTTGGTCCCCGCACTGTTGGTGATGGTGGTGCTGTGGTGAGTCCGTCTCTCTGTCTCTCTGTCTTGCTTGCTTGCTTGCTTGCTTGCTTGCTTGCTTGCTTGCTCGGCGGTCGCAGTCTCACTCTCAGTCTCCGTCTCGGTCGCTGTCTCCGTCTTCGTCAGTCCGTCCGTCGACCTGTCTGTCTGCGTCTGTCTCGCCGACTGGTGTCGTATCCTGCTTCTCGGGATTTACGTGAAGTCTTGCATGAAGTTTGTAGCCTCAAAGTGCCTTTCTGACAAGGGCATCCCCTCACCTCCTGGCCGTACCCTTCTCTGCCGAACTTCAACCAAGGTGCGTACTCCATCTGAACGGTGACATCCTCAGGCAAGTTACGAGGCCGTCTCCGCACATGTGCAAAACATGGGATGCACCGAAGCAACTGGCCAATTTACATTCACAAGTATCCAAACCTACCAGAACCAAAAACACAAGCCTCACATCACCTGTCTGGCACAGCGCTGTTCATGTCTGCTGTGTTCCAGCTATGTACCTGCTTGGCTGAGTCCGGCTGAGTCCGTTTAACACAACTGCTCCTTGCCGAGATCAGGGAATCACAAGGAGTGCATGGTATGGCAAAATCCAAACCGAAAAGCATGGCTTGCGAACTCATACTTCCGAGCTTCGACGACTGGCTCACCAATACCCGGTGATGGAAGACAGCTGCTTGCAGCACTCGATGCAAGCGTTTCTGGCATGGAGGATTGTCTTGACAGCCTTATCAGCAACAGGACCAAAAAAAACAACTCTGTCGCAGATCTTGGACTGCCATCGTCGTTATGCATTACTGTGCCCATTAAGTCGTGCCGCTTGCCATGTCTGGCCCCTGTTGTAAGGTCTGATGGATCTCTATGCACTGGAAACTAGAGCAAGGCATCGCGCAAACTAATGCCAGCGGCTCGTTCGCTGCCGACAGCTTTGATTTTGATCGCCACTTTCCTGCCGGAGAGACCTGACGCATGTCTTGCCACTCACTATGTCGACGTGCGTTTACACGCACAGAAAAAAAAGCAGGGCAACTGTTGCCCCCGGCACCTCCACGCTGGCCGGCAGGGTTCTAGCATCTGAACCTTGGTCCGAAGGAGTCACTGTGCAAAAACCCAATCTTTCAACAGGGTGGAATGCGTGACAAGGCCAATGCCCCAAAACGAGTAAGTGCTGCAGAACTGCCAAGTCCGAAAGGGTTGTCTCGTTGTCAAAACCCGAGTGAGAGGCTGCAAAAAGCCCGGCCATACGGGGGCGACTCATCCCCAACACCCGAAGCAATGGAAGGTACCGTGTTTTTGTCGAACCGCAAAAATGATCGCTAGTCCTAGTTCGCAAGAACATGTGTCGAATGGGTGACAACCCAGGAATGCCCGACGAGTGAGTGCTGCAGAATCCCAAAAACGCGAAGAAGGAGTGGCCTGGCATGAGAAACCCACAACCTCAACCTCAATGGGAAGCATTGGTTGGTTCTTGAACTGGGAGGATCATTTTCAGTGTCCCACTCCGGACCTTCCCTCCGGCCCTCCCTATTTCCCGACATGGCTATCTTTGTCAACCACCGACTCGAGTTTCCTGACCTTTCGTCATGGCACTGGACTTCAGCAGCATGCTTTGTGTTTTCAACAAGCCAAACCAACCTTCCGGCCCCTTTGAGATACCGATTATCCAAGCAACCCTAAAGCCTCAAACACCGAGGAGCTCCAAGAATCCCTAAACCCTAAACCGCCAAACCCGGAAACAAGTAAAACCCCACAATCCCAGCATCCTCCACACCTCAACCCTGCAACCCTCAAACCCTAAAAGCTTGAAGAGCGTGTGCTCGAAACGCTCCAACCGCTGGTGCTTGAATGGCATGTGGCTCTTGGGACGGCAGTGCTCGAATCAGGGCCAGTGCTGGAATCGGTTTTTGCGTGTTCCTCGTTCCTAGTCCATAGAGCTGCAGCGGAGACACTGGGGGGCGCTTCCACGACCTGGACTGCAGGAGGAGAAGCAGCTCCGACATCGGCCCCACTGTCCGACAGCTGAAAAGGTGTTGACCTCGATATCACAAAAACAAGAAAACTCTCACGCTTGCATGCGGCATGACAGCATTACACTGACTTGCTGTGCCGAGGGACAGTGAAGAAGCCGGCTGCACCAGGCTGTCCAACTCCTGTGACGTCCGGACGAAAAAACGAGCACTCGAAGACTGTTTAGGCAAACGGGGCCTTCGTGCTGCCTAGTCAACTAAAAACAAAAGCGCGCACATCGTCGGAAAGAGATAACCCACAACAACATGCTTATTGTCAGCTCTCAAGTTCTTCATGTCCGCTACGCTCAAACAGGGAATTCTCGAACTGTAACAACGCAAGCGCACGCAATAGTGACGGACTTGGCTGGCAGGCTTCGGCTATAATGGGCTGCATTGCCGAGACGGGCAAGGACCCGTGCCCTTCATACCAACGGGACGCAATGTGTAAGTGCCAAACTGCAACATACTGCTATCAGCAAACAGCATGATGTGAGGCTCCTCGGCTGCCCATGCTCTGTTTGTTGCCACCACCGCTTCGTCCCCAGCAAAATGCAAATCATCGTCCACAGCCGCGTCATGTCCACCGGACTTCACCACTGAACAGCGGCATGACCTTGATGGAAAGCCTGACCTGAGGCAACTGATGCCGGGATCTGCCGGGATGTCGAACAGTGATGCAGCCACCGAGACATAGCACAACTAAGGACACCCGGCCTAACAGGCAATATCACTGACGGCAGTATCATCACTAGCACCACGGCAGCACGCACGAATGCCTGCCCAAACACCAACATGTACCAAGAACCACGGCTACGGCTGCGCATGTAGCAGCCAGGGTCAGTATTATTTTTGCTGCAGAAACCACAAGCCTCAACGACCAACAGCACGTAGCCGGAGAGAGAGTGAAAAAGAGAGACAAACAGACAGACGGACGGACGGACACGGAGAGAGAGAGCGAGAGCGAGCCATACTGTTTTTGGCGGGCAATGCTAAGGGCAAACTGAAGGGGCATGGAGCTCTTCAAGCGCCATGCAAACAAGTGGAAGAACTCGTGGGAAGAAAAGACTAGCTCAAGCTAAAGTATAAACGTACCAAGCACTTGTGTGATGTGACCCGCATTGTCTCGGCATCGCGAGACTAGTCAGGGGCTCCAGCCAAGCCAGAGCCGGGTCGAGCTATCCCCGACACCACAATGCCCCGTGGCAAACTCGCAACTTCAACCGCGTCTGTGTCGTGCATTCCCTGTGATATTACTCATCTGCATCCTGAGTGCAGCTGTCAAAGAACACATCATCAACTCACAGAAGCAGCTGCTATAAGTTGGGTTGGACACACTAGACACACTTCCGTTTTTTGCTGCGCCCTCTCTGGGAGAACTGGAAGTAAGCAGCGTGACAAGATCGGCCGGACGTGCTGCCAAGTAGCTCGTCCGAGACGCCATTTCCCATGGCCGATCTTGAGGGTCCACCATAGCAGCAGGAAGCTGCGGCGTCTCACTGCCGATCTATGTTCGGAAAAACAACATTGGAGCGATGTCATAAAGAGTCGAGTAGGGGCAGCTGCACTAGTGGTAGTAGTGATACTAGCAGTAGTAGTAGCAGCAGTAGTAGTAGTAGTTGTTGTTGTAGTAGCAGTAGTATCAGTAGTAGTAGTAGTAGTAGTAGTAGTAGTAGTAGTAGTAGTAACTGCTATGGTACTGGTGGTACTAGTGGTAGTTAGTCTTGGCAGTCAAAGTACCACAATGGCAGTTGATCCTGGCCATTCTGCAAATCAGGTCCCAAAGCTGCGGCCCCAAATTGCATCTTTGCTGTCACAACTTTACTGTCACCTACTGTACCCCCCTCCATGCCTGCTCCGTCCTGACTGGGTCACGAAATGTGCTTAGGATCGGCCATGTCAGTGTTCATCTCGCAGAAGTCTAGATACATAGAATCTTCAAACTGCCCAGTGCCGTTTGTTGAGCCTGTTCAGCCTCGGGACGCTCCTCTCTCAACCCTTACAGCCTTCGAGAGATCTCAAGAAAACAAGGCGCCTCCGGGCTTTCAGGGCCCCACTCCAAGTAGTCGTCGGCCTGACATTTCAACATTCGGCAAGGGCCATGAAATTGGAGACAAGGCTCATCTTAGAGTTCCATCTGAAGGCATGTGAAGGCTGGGGCTCACGCTTCGTGGAAGCCGGCCTTGAGAAGAATCCCTTCTGCGAGATCAGGCCTGCAACGCAGACGGGGCTGCACGAACACCGGTCTTTGCAGAGTCCACGCAGCCTGCGAGGCAGTTTTTTTCGCAGCGCGGCCACCTAACATGAAATTCTCTGCATCCGTGATAAATCTGTCGGGTGCAGTCGAACGAGCAGTCTACGAACTGACATTCCAGCCTTGAGTTTTCGAAACTTGGCAAAAGCGGTCGCATCTTCCAGATTGGCCAGAACGCGGTTCACCACCTCTACGAGGGCTGACACAATTCAACACAAGAAGATTTGGCGACGTGACCTGCAATGCAAGCCCCGACACGGCGGCCTCACAACAAAACGATACGGACCCAAGTGCTTGCTGCGGGAGTAGTTCTTGTGCCTTCGGCAGTTTGATATCAATGCCAGAGTCTGAACAATCTGCTGTCTGCTACAGACAACCTTTCTGCGTGAATCCGAGCACGAGACATCTACTTGAGCCCGCAAGGCAGGCAGGCAAGCCTGACAAAGCCACAAAGCTGGTCAAAAGTTCACTCAAAATGGTCTGGGGTCCTCAGCTGCAGTTCGCAACAGCAGCTTGGGTCCATGAGCCTGAGAAGCACACCGAGCGAGCATGTTTATTGCAAGTTCGTGTGCGCTCAGATCTGTACTGGTGCCGGCTCACCTGAAGGCTCCGGAACCTGAATGTCAACACGCATGAAGCAGTTCTCGTGCAATGAGGCAACGGTGAAACAGAAATCCTTGGCCAGCGACCACTTCCATTGCCGCTGCCGGTCATGTCGTTGAGAACAACATGGAAATACTGGACTCGCCTTGTAGCTTGTATGGTCCCCTGCTTGCCCATGGTCGTCAAGGATAGCCATAGTTTCCAGTTCAATCATATACGTCCACAGAATACTGTCTGTGGTTCAGCACATGTTTTGGCTGCTTACAAGCTTTCCGCAGGGAATGCACCCAAGCTGTTCATCACAAATGAAAATCGCCAAAAATATTGACACTGCCGGGTTCCATCATCGCATGCATGCAGGTGTGTTCCATTCAATCAACCCGCTTCCCAAACCTTCAATATCATGTTTTCTATGTTTAGTACATGTTTGCGCATGCAAGAAAGAGAAAAAAAGAGGGAGGAAAGAACTCACTTCTTTTAACGGCCGAGGTTGCAGTGTCCGTGCCAGGCGTGGCGAACGTAAGGGTTTGGTTTGTGCTGTGCGAGCAATGCCGGCAATACCTGCAGCCCCAAACGGGTGTGGAGGGGGGATGAAAAAGTTTCTCCCAAGGCTGCTGCCAGCGTGCATGCATCTTACTATGGTTTCGAGCATCAGTGGCAAAGCACATGATAAAACATAGAAAACACTGCTGACAAACAAACAAACAAACAAACGCACCGAGCGCAACAAGTTGCAAACCATCATTTGGCTCGTAAATTTGAAGTAAACAGCTGGTCGCCCGTGCCATTCACGCCCAGACTGCGCATTTTGGCATCAAGCTGTTTGCAAACCGTATTCAATTACATCAAAAAAAGAAACGAATTGCCCCGTTGCACACAGTTTTAATGTGCTGTGCTCCTTCAAAATTTCTTTTTGAAACCGCCACACCTGCGCTCACATAGAAAATTGCCCATCCGTAACAAAATCGACATTGAAACGAAAACTAAACTTGCAAAAAGCTATCTTCTTCATGGAAAAGTGTGACATCCTCTCTCTCCCTCTTATGAAACTCTTTTCCGTGTTAAATCTACAGGTTGTGCAGTGCCTCTATTGGTCCACGCTTAATTTTCTACAAAGACAAAAAAACACGGGCGACGCTGCACGAAACAATCATTAAATCAGATCAGCCACAAAGCGATCTACTCCGCAGCAAAAAGTCTGCGAAAACGTTTTCCAACGAGCAAGAACGTCAGTGCTTCAGGTGGTTCTACTCTCATCCCACCTTCTGTTCCAAAAAAACAATTGGTGCCACTTTTGTAAGCCGCCAAGTCCAACCAACACTTGGGTGGATGTCTCAGAATTTGTGGACTTCAGCCCACAGCAAATGGAACAAGGAAAAATCAAAGCTGGATCAATTCAAATCTCGTTGTGAATGGAAATCATTGGCGACTTCCAAATTTTCCGCATTGCAAGAAATCCAACCCGTTGCGAATGACGTCAAATTTGTGGTGAACAGAACAGTAGTTTGGAGAGTTCAACAAAAAAAGAAAAAAAAACACCTGCTCCCAGAAACAACGGGTAAACATCCGAAAACACAAGAAAACAGCAGTGAAACGAGAAACCAAGCGAACGCGACCACGTACTGCTGTAGCGTGCGGAAGGAAACTGGTTTGCAGTCCACAGCTTCTACAAGCGCAAGCACGGACTTGAAGGGAGCTTCAAGGGAGAACTTAAAGGTAGGGTTCAAAGCAAGCGTACATTGAAGCTTCTGCCAATAAGAAGGAAAGCCTCACGAAGACGCTTTAAGTGGGTTAAAAGCGGTGGGCTGCTCTTTTTTTCGACCCCGAAATATCTTTTTCAGACCCCGCGCTTGGTCCATCTTGACTTCGCCCCGGCATGTCTTTCTTCCGACCTCCATCTTTTCTTCAGCCCCGCGACGAGGTCTAGAAAAAGATTACAATCTTTTTTTTTGACCTCCACTCCACGATTTAAGCCGTCTTTTTCTCGGTCTTGAAAATATCTCGTAACTGACCCTGTGTCTTTTTGCGGACCGCGGTGGATATTTTTCTGGGCCTCTTGTCTTTTTTCTGACCTCTACAAAGATAGAAGCACGCGTGACATAACAACACAGCAAAGAGCGCCACAATATGAATTTTGCAACGCAAACTGCACAAAACCTAACTTAACCATACTATAACTTCTTACCACAAAGAAGAAACACGAAAACCGCTTTTTGGGGCTGAAAGCGAACGAAAGACTTTGTATTTGTCAATGGATGGGTGGACTCCGGATGGACGCGGGCTTTTGTTCACTTTCATGTGTAAAGAGACGTCATCATGCCAAAGGTTTTTGAGGGAGTGTTCGACCGAGGTTTGGAATGAAAAGTTTGGAACCCAGGGTTTCAAAGCCAAAGCTGTTAGCTCTCTGGACTGTGTCCGCCACGTACCAACGCAAGGGTTTGTTTCTGGTTTGTGCTTCAATAAGACGCGTGGCCAACTCCACAAAGTGGCTGCAGTGGCTGCATAAGTCGCAGATGTTCAGCTTTTTCTGGAAGCTCAATCGTGACTGTTCTGTGCGCATGGACAACACACCATTTGCCGCTTCGGTGACAATGTTATCTTCCTTTGCCATCTGCACGTAAATCCCCAAGTTTTCAATTGCTTTCACCGCTTTTCGACTGCTCTTTTTCCAGACTTTTTCCAGACCACAAGATCTTTTTTGCTTTTTTGTTCGACATCTACGGTCCGAACGTGGAGTTCTCCAAACCCCGGGTTCGAACATAGAGTTTCCGAACCCAGGGTTCGAACATAGAGTTCCCGAACCCAGAGTTTCCAGGTTCAACGTGGGGTTCGAGAAGTCGAGAACAGCTTGCCAGATGTCCACTTCACCAGCAGTCGATGCATGTAGGTGCGTCCACTGACACATTGTGCGGCATGAGGACGGCAAGCAGTGCGGCAAGTTGCGGGAAGGTCCAAACCACCCGAAAGCGCGTCGATGCAAAGCACTGCTCAGAGAAGAGAACGTTTTTGGAGGCTCCAGGCATCCTAGGATGTTGAAGGAGCCACGGTTGGTGCCTCTTGCCACCAGAATAGCGTGAATGTGTCTGTACTTCACTCTGCAAACTAAGTGACCGCTTGGGCTCGTGAAGTGATCGCTGCGCGATCTTTGCTTTTTACACTTCTGTCAACGATTAGATCCTAGCGGTGGCCATCAAGTACAAAAGTCAAATACACAGCACATGTTGTAAAGTCAAAGCACACTCTGTGGGCTATGCACTACGTAACCTTGATCGAACTTTTTATTTTTTGTACAACTTGAGTGCTAGAGGTGTCTTCGGAGCTGAGATTAAATCCCGGATGGACTTCTGTTAGTGAAATATACATAAAGTCAAACACATCGATCTCGGTCTTATCCTGTGCTTGATGATGATATGTGCAAGCTGTGGCAATGGAGGCATTTCTTAGAGGTCAAATTGCCGGCTTAAGGCAAGTTTTCTTGGATGATTGAAATCAACAAAACCTCGAGATTTTATTGGTTTACTTTTGTGAATCAATAGTAAATCAATACCAAGAAACCGTCAACCTTCAGCTCCAAACTCTTAAGCAAACAAATTCTCAGCCTTGAACTCCAAACCCGACAAAATTACAAAGTCAAGTATCTCTTGGACGGTGACCATCCAGCTCATCTTGGAGAAGAAAACAAACGCCATCCTGCATGGCGTTGTGGCTTGGAGTTCTGGATTTTGCTGTGCTCAAAAACAGCTGGAAGCTTCAAAGGCAAAGCCAACTTGCCAATCTTTGATCAGTTGCACCTTTCGTCTGACCTCTTGCTTCCAGTCTGCATGTAGAGAAGCCGGAGATTGTCTTGTTGGGACGCTAGTTGTGAGTTTTCATTTTGGTCAACTGTGTTTTCTAACTTGTCGAATGTAACTGTTGTTTCGCACTGCTTTTCGGCACAAGCTCTCACCTTTTTGCGGCCCAGGATGCCGGCCCGCTCATGCCAAAAAAAAACCTCTCTCTAGGGCTCTGGTGTGGGTCGGCCAGGTTTCGGACTGGGGTATGTGAACTTGGCCTGGTTCTGGCCTGGCCAATGCCGTTTGTCCAAGGCCGACCCCGACGCCGCCTTGCATCCTTGCCCACAGGGCTATTGCCCTTGCCATCATTACGTTTTATCTTTGACGTAGCACTGGGAGTATCATGAGGAATGTTTTAGGTTTGTTATAGATGTTTTTACTGTCATTTATGTCATATTTATTGCCATTGATATTGTTACTATTCTGATCATTGTTATTTTTTAGTTTATTGTTGAAACATGTTGGCACATGCTCATTGTGTTTCCACTTGTAAGACTTTAGCAGCATACTTACATTTTTCGTGAACGCTGCTAAGCTCGACGCAGCTCGTAACCACTGCCAACGCCTGCTTGCTCCGGGTGTCTTTGGGATACAACAGGTGCACGTCATAGCTCTTACATTTTTCGACGCCCCAATCGGTGTGATTGCATCGAGCGACCAGTTGCAGCACTACGTCGGTCATCAGCGGAGAGGATTCTTTCTACAACGTCCGGTGTAGAACTTGATGGACGTTATTATTCGCAGCGAGTGGAACATGGCGACCAGAGAATGTTGGCCCTGGCGAAGGGTGCAAATTCCTGAGCATTCAATGATTCAATGTGCTTCGTTTTCATTTACCAAGAACTGCAGGAGACATTGCTCGGTTTCGGAAAGTTCGGCGACATCCCGCAGTCATGCCTCGATCTTCGGAGAATTTTTTCCAGTTTCGTTCTCCGCATTTATGACATCATGACCAACACTACCAAATCGTGAAGTTGCTGGACAATCGCATGCTGCCTTCCCAACACATCGGCCAGAATTTGAGTAAGATCAATAAACATGTCGTTACTTGTAGCAAAGCCTGACCGGCACTTGCTTTCATCGCCCATGCTTCAGTCCAAGCATGGAGCCACTGCGTAAACAAGTTTACATTTTGCATTTATGCAGTGCCCCACCCCACCATGCCCAGATGTAGAACGCAACATGCCGGATGAACACCTTTCAACACCTAGTTCTCGCCATCTCGGGTCAGCATGCAGAAGCTTGCAGCTTTTGTACTTTTGTACTTTGAGACGCAGACAGTCGGTAACCATCTAAGCGTGACACTGCACATCATTCAGATGCGGCCGTCGAGACGGCACCCTATTGCAGGGCCGTGTTGACAAAAGAAAAGTCAGAGTAGAGAGAGTGGAGAGAGAGAGAGAGAGAGAGAGAGAGAGAGAGAAGAAGGAGAAGAAAGAGAGACGACAGAAGACGACAACCAGAGAAGGAGAGAGCAAGAGAGAGAAAGAGAGAGAGAAAGGAGACGGAAAGGGGGAGAGGAAAGGAAAGAAAAGGGAGGGAGGAGCGAGAAGACAACGACCAGGACGACGGGGAGGAGCGAGAAAAGAGGAGTGGAGTAAGTGTGACTTGGCGCGTGTTGTATAAGGCAATGCCGAGCGAACTCACCTCAAAATCGAAGCGGCCCGAAAACTGTACAACATGACCGTACCCCGCTCAGCACATCGATCAGAATCGGAAAAGCAAACCTTGTAAGTAGCAGCGATCCTCATCCGAGAGTAGTGCCGCATCTTTTATGGTAAAAGCCGCGATTGTGATCCTGGTGCCTTCCCATGGGCACGTTTCGTGCCACCTGTGTGGCGAGAAGCATATCCCGCTCATAGTAAGATTGAACATGTGGCCGATGCGATTGCCGTCACTGGAATAGTACTCTCCACTGTCATCTTCCACCCATACACCACCACCATGAAACCTGGAACACGGGATAACTGTATTCAAGCTGGCAGCGCAGTTGTTGGTGTCACGATGAAGTGACATTGCCGTATTCCGTTGCAGCATAAAGCTCGTAAAAGGCATATCCGTACAGCTTTTGATGTAACTGCAAATCAACAGACTAGTCCAAGGAAGCTGCGTTGTATGCCTTCGAAGTCCCCTGAGAGGACCCTGAGAAAATGCACCGCTCAAGAATGTAAAAGCATTCTCCCCACATGTGCACTCGGTGCGAAAGCTGCCGTCCTGCGGCAGTTGATCACAAATTGTGTGCCATGTCTCCATGCATATTTGACCATCCCGTATCATGTTTGCCGCCATGCATTCCACCGGATGTGTGGGTGGCGATAAGTAAGCGGGGACATCCCCACAAATCATGACCGAGTACGGAATTCGCACCTGAGCATCGGCCACGTATCCTCGGTATGTGGTCGGCGTGTGCCGCTCATTGGCAACCGAATCGAGGATATCCTCATCACATGCCATACACCTGAAAACTACGCTGCACGATAGAAGTGCAGACAACTGCATCGAGCCATGATATCAGTCTTCAGCTTCACTGGTCAACATGAACATATATGCTTGTGCGTGCAACCATCTGTGCGCCGACAAAGAGATGCGCTCTGCAGATTTGTTGTCGTCATAGAGCAGACACTGTTCACAAGCCCCCTCACTCCCCAGCAATGGCACCGCCACGCGGTAGTGCCCTGAGCGCATGTGCAATCCCTCATGTAGAACAACAGACATGATGCGAAAAGTGCTCCACTGAATGTCGGCTGCATGCTGATCCTTGAAACGCGGCATGGTAACTCGGCCTGCTCCCCATTGGATCTCTGCTGTATCCTTGGCTGCCCCACGACCTGTATCACGAAAGCGACCAAGCTGTAATACTACCTTGGTTGTTCCACTGCTCAGCGCCTGCAAGGCCTGTTGTCCTGTGTGCCATTCCCCCAGGCACTCCTGCAGGTCTGCACAATGACGAAGAGGATTGAACATGACGTTCAAAAGAATCACTTGATTGCCTGAGTCCCGAAACATCGCATCAGCTGACGTCCGCCACGCACTAAGTCCCTGGAGCGCGGGTTCGTCACGTAGGATGTGTAATAGGAACTCCACTGCATCATGTTGGCGATTTGGTTGAGCCCAGCCTTGTTTCAGAGTCTTCCATTCCTTGAGACGTCGAAGATCCAACAGTGTATCACCTCGTCGGTTGCGAATTTTACTCAACATACACTGCAAAGGCGAGCTGGAACCTTCCCAATCAACCATGAGATGCACCAGCGCGATGAAGGTTGAGTTGGCATAGCAGAACTGGCCTGTGTTCCTGAGTGCCCCACTTAAAGTGCCTTCAGCGCGTTGTAGAGTTTGTCCATCTGCGGTGTTGCTTTGGACCTTTGCGTTCGAAGACGTGCCGCGATCAGCATCATGGCCCCTAGATCTACCAGTCGTAGCATTTGTTTGTGGAAGGCGTCGTCCCTCAGCCCCACGTCTAGCATGAAGGGTACTGCTTCGTTCTCCATGGTCTCCGTGAGCTGTTTTGTCGCCTGAAAGTTGGTCACGCCCTGGCCCTTGCTCACCTCCTCCTGTATGTTTTCTAGGGTTTGAACGAGCAAAGCATGCGGCAATGGTTCCTTGGTGGTATCTTCCAGGAATCTTCCACGAGCGTCTCTGTCTTGGGGTCCCACTTGCGATACTTCCACTCGTTCTCCTGAGTCAGATTTTTCTGTAATACTGCTTGCGTCTTTGCCTCCTCTTTGTGAAGAATCAGCTCGCTTCTGGATCGCAGTTCCTGAAGAATGCAAAGAAACATCGTTGTGCTCAAGGAGGCTGTCAGCTTGTCCGGAGCATTCTGCTTGCATTTCCTCCACTCCGATGCTACCTGGAACATCACCGGTGTAATGGAGCCTTTCGTCGGCGGTGTTTCCAGTACCATGAAGAAGCCTGTTTCGGTGCTGATGCGATTCAGCTGTTCTGACTGTCTCAGAACGAGGTGCCCCATCAATTTGACCAGCTGAGTGAGCTGTGTCGTCTCCTTGTCTGAACCATTGGCTGATAGTGGCCGGCTTCGTTTTTCTCGGCGCCTCGTTGCTTCCGTCTTGTGACGCTTGTTCGCGCCCTTGTCCTTGTCCTGACTTGTGTCCGCTTCCATGTGCTGGTCCTCTTTGTTCTCCTGTATTGCTTGTAGCGCCTGTGTCGCCGGGACGATCTGGCCGAAGAGTGCATTGATCTCCTGGTGACAGGTTCTTCAAGTGACTCACGAAATATGCCTGAAGGGCAACAGTGCATTGTCCTGCATGTTGTCGGGCGTCGGCCACACGAGTGCCGCAGATATGACAGGGTGAGACGGCTGACTTGACCCAGAGCTTTATTTCTTTCCTCCATAAGGGTTCCAACCTTTTCAGAAGCTTGCGGCACGCCTACATGCGACGCGTAAAACAAAGCAGCGCGTGACAAACGAACATCGGCGAATCTTTTTGGTTGCGAGCCAAGTCGCAATGGCAGGTTGAATTCAAGCTTGGAGTTTGGCCATGTTGCTCATAATGCATGAATGATGCTTCGCTCGTGCTGCATCATGTAGCTTTACCGTAGCTGTGGACTTGGATTTTTCTTGAGGTGGTCAGAGCATGTGTGGGAATCACAGTGAACATCCAGTAGGTCTTTAGGGTTGCAGTGCGATCAGTTTTTTGTGACATTGGAAAGTCGGACCCGGCCTTTGGTTCTGACTGCTGCTGTGGTGGAGCTAGCATGTCAACACCAAGCTGGTCGTTTCGAAACTCCGGATCTCCATCGCGCCGGAACCGTGAAGTAGCAACATCTTACGTTGAGATTCCTGTGTGCCCGTGGTTCGCGATGTGCATGTCACGGTGCAGTTTTTTTGCGATAAAGATGCAGTTTTGTGATCTGATAGAACTCAGACACGAGTTTCTGCATCTTCGAGCCCTTTGGTATCGTACATCAGTGTTGGTTGGCCATTGTTGCTATTTTGGCTTGCAGATGCCAAGAGGGCTTCTGGCAGCTGCCCAGGCCGTCACGAGGGGCCAGCGGTAGGTATCAACAGACCTTACTGTGCCCAGTTGTTTTGGAAGGATGGATGTGTTGACAGCCCTGTTGACACCCAACCCTGACGTGCCTTGGCATCACCTGGAAACTTCGGTGCGCATGTCATCTTGCTGAATCAACCGCAAGATGCCGATTTGAATGGGAGACCAACAAAGCTCAGATGCCTCGAGTTTGTGCGCAGGGCTGCGAGTGTTTCGAGCCAAATCCCTTCAAGCCGGTCCCTGACTTAATCTCTTACGAGTTCATTTCACTCGGTGCTCAGCGTTTCTGGCCCTAACCGTTTGTGGCGCTGCAGGAGAAATGCAAGAATTGCGGTAGAGTGTGGACGGAGCACTTGGGAGTGATTTCGGAGGCGCAGCCGTGTACTTCACTGCGTGTCGCTTCCTGGAGCCCGTGCCAGGCTCACCTTAAAGTCTTCCTACAGCAAAAACAGAAGTCCCAAGAGGACAAAGACAAAAAGGAGGAGCCACTCTGCTGCGAACCGGACCGAAAGAAAGCATTTTCGACAATTCCGTAGAAGGCCGAAGCAAAGCAAGCTGCGGCCGCCAAGAAGTCGGCCAAGAAAAGAGCAAGCCAGGCAGCAGAAATGTGTGATTGACAGCATGCGTGAAACCTCGCGTTGGTCTGCACTCAGGCGGTGGAAGACGACTGGCTTTTCGGGGCAGACAAGGAGGGAAGCTTCGCGAACTCGTCCCACACTGTTGTCCATCGCAGCAGCGAAGTCGCTGCAAGGATGAGCCTGAAAAGAACGAGGAGGAGTCCGATGATGATCTCGGCTTCCGGATGCGTCTTGGCTTTCTTCATCAGGTTCAGCAAGTTTTTGTCGTTCGATCACCCATGTCTTTCAGTCTTTCGTTTGACGCAGGTTTTCTGCAGCAGACTTCGTCAACTCGGACCCTGGCCCTGTAGAGCCCAACCGGCAGCTCAAGGCATGAGCACAAGATGTCGCTCAGACTTGCAGAGCAAGAGCGCCGGGGCCCCGGGAGCATCTCGTGCCCTGTACGGAAGGTGGTCAACCTGATTGACTGGGGGGAGTGTGATGTCGCCCAGGAGAGCCCAAGGTTTGTCAGTTCGGTGTAACAGGGCCTACCTACCACTTTTCTCGCGCACAAATCGGCATGTCATCGGCCGTAGACAAGCAAGATGACGGACGGCACAGTGCCAACGATACATTTCCTGTGGCAGCGATCTACGACATGTCCAGATCGCACTTGACCCGGCAGGAGCTTTCCGGAGCTGGTGAGGCGGCAAATGAGGGCCTGGAGTTGTCACAGTGTTTCCTTCCGAAGTGCGCGGTCAGGCAACGGGCAGCTCAGCGAGCACAATGGCACCGCCTGTGGAGGCCAAGTATGGAAAAAACTGAGCCTAGCCATAAACAGTGGTGAGATTGTGAGGTTCGGCAAACGCTTCCGGATCCACGTGTAGGAGGCTGGAGCAAAGGGGTGGTTTTACAGGTGGGCACGCCGTGATCGCCATGAAAGTCCAAGGTGATCCACATTTCCAGGAATCCTTCGGCTGCAGCCTGAGACTGAAAGAGTAGCTGACGATATTGAGTCGCAACCGAAAGTCACCAGGTTCTGCCCCTAGCCTGGTACCACTTTCCGTTTCCGGAAACCAGGATATGTTTCTGCTTGCCTGCGATCACCACATGCTCTCAGCTGTACGTGACTTCGGCAGGATCTCGTGACGGAGATCCAGCATTTAAAGCAAATGCTTGCTGATGCAAACGAAGAGAAGGACATCCAGGTGCTTCGCATACTTGGCTTGCTGCAGGTTTTTCCATCCCTGCCAAACAGGTTGCCATCGTTCGCGATGAAGTCCAGGAGAAGGAGCAAGAAATTCAGGCGCTGCTGCGCCAGAAAAACGAGACCGAGGCCGCAAAGAAGCATTGACTATTCAGTGTTCGCGAAGGATGCATGCACGCAAGTGGTCAGGTGCTCCTTCGAGAAGCACGTCAAAAGATTGAAAGTGAAGCATTGACCTGAGATTCGGAATGGGACAAAGTGGCCGTCCCGTGTGCGTCCGACATGATTTGTTTTACCTGCAGGCATCGCCGGCAGCAGATGCATCATCGCCGGAGCAGCTGGCAGAGGTGATTTGCTTCACCGTGTGGCATGTGGCAGTGTGTGGCACTTTGGGGCTTCCTTGAGCTTCCAGGTCCAGCAACTCCGAGCGAAGGTCGCTGAAGCTGAGGCCAAGCTAGAGGCCGCGGTGGCCTTGCAAGAAGTGCTCCTTTGCAGAGCTGCCGACACAGGCCCGGGAAGCGCAGGAGGCCGCCGTCAGTGCCGAGGCGCGCGAGGGAGCGACGTACCGCGGTGCCCGTGGCGCGAGGGGAGAAGCGTGCTCTCTGCGTAGTCAGGTCCAGCAACTGCGAGCGCGGGTTGCTGAATCTGAGGCCGAAGCGGAGGTGCGATGAAGCTGCTCATAGGTCCGAGAGGGTCGTTTGATGCCACTGGCTTCACTGTCAAGGGCAGAATGCCGCCGCCCGACCAAAGCAGCGAGGCAGTCTGAGCTGATTCCCAGCGCGCTTCTGGCAACATCGTTCGAGCCCGGCCAGGTCTTGCAGCTCAGAGCCCGTGCTGATGAGGCTGAAGCCCTTCTCAAGGCCGCAGGATGTTGAAAGGTTGAGTGTGATCTTGCGAATCGAAACTACTCTTGTTGCGAATGTGCTCGCAACAGTTGATGCATTTTGAGGCCGAAATACCCCAACTCAAGTCTTTAAGTAGAGCTTCCGGAAGTGCTGCTTATTCTGGTCGTCATTCATCGTTCAGCCCTACCCCCCGACCATGCCCATCAATCTTGGATAAATATGGTGTTGTAGCATTGAAGCCCATCATCATCATCGGCCTTTCTGCTGCCCTCCCCTCCCCTCTCCTCTGCTGCACTAAGCAGACAATAAATGAATGCTTGTTGAGCATGCAGATGCAGTACATGGATGTTGTTATGTGGGAATCCAGCTACGCAACCAAGCCTTTGGTGGGTTTTGGAAGCGGGTGCTGTGTTGGGGCCGGGTGTTGGTTGGAGGTATCATCGGCGCCCGCGGCTGCGTTCATTTTTTCATTTAACTTTCAGACAATGTCACATGAAGATCAACTTAAAGCCTGAGTGGCGGTCATCTAGCACTTCTTCATAGATGAGAGCCGGGGTTGTCTTGGCAATATGAGCCTATGTGTTTCGACAGTACGCGCGGGTCACTTTAATCATGCAGAAAGCAATCGTGCCGGTGAATTGTCCGAAAGTTCAGGTCGCCAATCCGTGGGCAAAAAGACTGAGGTTCAATCTGCACAGCGAATCAAGCTGCTTGGTGCCAGTGCATGCCCAAGTCGTATGAACCTGGGAACGATCAACACTTACATATGCCTCGTGGCCAGCCCGATAAGTGCACCCGCACTGCTCGTCATGATGGCTTCCAACTACTCTGGATGAATGCGCGTCGCTCGAGCTCATTGTCTTACTGTCGGCTGACCTTTGAAACCTGCCTGAAGATGAACGTCGTGCCTTTCGTCCGTGTGTTGTTAAGCCGTTACTGGGGTTGGACCAGGTTCGTTGAGTGCACTTGAGGCTTGAGGCGCCTCAAATCGAAAGGCCACCTTGATCATAAATATCCTTTTTGCGTGCTATTTTCGAATACGACAGGTGAGATCGCGTCGACATTTCGATCACATCTCTCGAGCCTGAAGCTACCGCAGAGTGCATGTTCAGTCTTTTCCCGGGACTGAATCGACTTCACATCTCGGCAGCCTTTCGGCGAAGAACGCATGTCCCGCGGTTGTTGCGCATGTCGTGGTAACTGGACAGCATGTATGCGGATGAAACCTTCGGATTTCTTTGCATCCTTACCGTCCGACGATGACTTCCTTTCCTGTGTCTTTATACTTCCTGCTTTGCATTCAATGGCCTGTTGCCCATTCGAAAAGACTTGTGATGCTCGAAACCTTCGCTCCTCGGGACATTGACCATACAAGGAGTGTGCAAGGTGTGTAGCACCCGTGTCTCCGAGTGACACAGGCCCGGGAAGCGCAGGAGGCCGCCGTCAGTGCCGAGGCGCGCGAGGGAGCGACGTACCGCGGTGCCCGTGGCACGAGGGGAGAAGCGTGCTCTCTGCGTGGTCAGGTCCAGCAACTGCGAGCGCGGGTTGCTGAATCTGAGGCCGAAACGGAGGTGCGATGAAGCTGCTCATAGGTCCGAGAGGGTCGTTTGATGCCACTGGCTTCACTGTCAAGGGCAGAATGCCGCCGCCCGACCAAAGCAGCGAGGCAGTCTGAGCTGATTCCCAGCGCGCTTCTGGCAACATCGTTCGAGCCCGGCCAGGTCTTGCAGCTCAGAGCCCGTGCTGATGAGGCTGAAGCCCTTCTCAAGGCCGCAGGATGTTGAAAAGTTGAGTGTGATCTTGCGAATCGAAACTACTCTTGTTGCGAATGCGCGTTGATGCGTACTGCATATCATCCGCAATTGCAGCTATGTCCCAAACGCATCTAAGGCGATTAGGCCGAACTACTCAATTCAAGTCATGTTAGCTGCTCGAGCATTTCGTGTTTGGCGTCATTCTCACATTGTCGTGCGTATCGCAGCAAAGGTGATGCGCATTGGGACGATCGTCAGCAGAATGTCAGCAACCTTTCAGTCCTAAGTTCAACGTAAAACTGGCATTGCAGTAGGAGGATGCCGATCATGCTCCCTTCTCTGTGTGCGCCGGCAACAAAATCAAGGCAAGCAGAAAACAAGGCACTCGATATGCATCCAAATCCTACAACAACGGGTCGGGGCGCAAACTGCACACAACCTCAACCTTAACCGTTGCAAACGGGCTTCAATCCATGCCTTCGGTCCACAGAAGAGGGTCTCGGCGATGAGACGAAGCGAGGAGCTTGGGGGAGGCAGATGGGAGGGGCTCCAGGAGTTCAACGATGAGCGAGGATGGCGCGAGGAGGGGTCGTCCTGGCTTCCGCAGTGTTATCGCCGTCGAAGTCGTCGCTGTTTCGATGGTGGCAATGGTTGCGGTGATGGTGGTGGTGGTGGTGGTGGTGATTGCCCACGCAGCAATCGTACGTTCTGGTCTTCACTGGTGTATCCTTGTCTGCGCAAAAGCCAACATGCTGCTTGCACCGATACAACGGGAGGCACATGTGACACGATGGCAGGAAGGAGAGAAAAGTCATGCACCCGCAATGTGTGAGTTCCCACGTGGTGCCCAAGAGTGGTCAAGCATGGCGACACGTCACGAGATGGCAGAGACATCATCTTTGCTTCCGTGCAATGAGTATGCAGGCTCTGCAACAGCGAGATCCGGCGGCACCCTCTGAGGCGTCATTGTAGCGTATGTTCATGGGCAGGGTCAGCATCCTGTTTGTAAAGTGGCACTCGTCTAAGTCTCGATGTGAAGCCCTCGTCCATCGACAACTTGTGACGAGCACATGCAGGTGCAGAGTCGCAACAGCGACGGAGCACCCCAAGATGATTCCGTTGAGGTGTGACACGCACCAGTGCGACTGTTCTTTGGTGTTGGCTGAATTCAGGTGCAGCAACTAAAAACACGTGCCTCCGAAGCGGAAGAACGACTGGAGGTGTCGTCTGCGCTAGGCCCGCTATGTGAAGAGGTTATCGGGCTAGCTGCAGGCGTTGCAGAAAGACATCGCAGCCAGGGAAGAGGCGGGATTTCTTGCAAGCTGCTGTGGACTCTTGCCCGGAAGACAGTGTGTCCGAGTGAGACTCAAAATCACACAAAGTTGTTGTAAGCTTACATGCCATATGGAACCGCTCCGAGCACGTGCTGCTCAAACCGAAAAGCAGCTTCATGTGAACGACAGTCAAGTGTCAAAACTCATGGACTGTGCATGCTACTGGTGTGCAGGCAGCCACAATCCAAAGCCAAGCCAAGCAGGCCGAGCTGGAGGTTCCGAGCATTGGAGGGTAGTGGAAGGCGATACCGAACACAGTTACAGTCCGCAGGCGTGGCAGCAGAAACACGCAGCCTCAAGCGCAGAGGTCGCACAACATGTCCCTGCAAAGATTCGCGACGTTTCTGTGAACTGCCAGGTGGTTCAGCTCAGAGCCCGACTTGCGGAGGTTGAAGAAGAGCTGAAGGCGTGGTGCTTGAGGGATAATCTGAGATCACCTCCCCATTTATGCAACACCCTGACTACTACTGACATACTGAAAGCACACTTTCCGGGAAATCCTCTGAACACAGCCCCGCCTTTTACGACCCATTTTGGATTTGCGGGGTGTAAGAGCAAGAGCAGGAGCAAGAGTTGGAGCAACAGCAAGAGCAGGAGCAAGAGCAAAAGCAGGAACAGGAGCAAGAGCGGCAGCGGGAGCTGTTGGAGCAAGAGCAGGAGCAAGAGCCGCAAAACGAGCAAGCCAGAGCAGGAGTAAGATCCTCGCCAATGTGATAGTAGAGATGAAATCCCACCTTAACGGTAAAACACGTCTCGACATTTTGTTGCGAGGGGGCCCTCCAATATGAGAGGGATGGTATTATGCTGCTTTTGCTCACGAACAGCTGTGTGGAATGAGTGCGGGCTGTGCAGGCCCTCCAGCACAGTGCAGCGGCACCAGTCCAGCATGCAGAGGTGGATTGCTTCTGTCAACTGTTTGCATGTTACAAACCCGGATCATTTCCCGTGAAGCAGAATGTCTTCTTGGACAGGATGCCCAAGCTGCCAAGGCACGTTGCCTTGGAACTTGCTGACGGTCATCTTTGCTGCCAGCTTTCTCGAAGCACAGGCTTTGCGCGATGTCCGCATGCATGCTGAACAGCAGCTTGCGTGGATCTTGCAGCGAATGGGCGTTACTCATCAAGCTGCCGCCCTTGCTGCTTTATCTGTGAACATTGATCTCTTCCATGCTTTGTGTGATGTTCGTCCGATCCGTCGGAGCGTGCGACATGTCAGGCAGAGTTACAGAAGGTTGGAGCTACTGCTCCTTGCGTGTGACTGCCAGGGCCTGTGAGGGTGCCAACTTTACATTGCCTTGCAGAGAGTGCCATCATGTTCGGCTATGAGTACGAGAGATGCATTCTGAATTGTGTAAAGTTTAGCGAGGTTTTGGCTAATCCTTGCACAGCTTCATGTCATGTAAGAAACCTGGTGTATGCTGATCGGTTGTTGGGTGAGGCCACAAATTCGCAGTGAGGATGCCCGCTCACCCTCCGACACGGAGAGTGCTAGCTCCTGATTCTGATATGTACAACTTCATCAAGCTCACCAACGACCAGAGGCATCTTTTGCGTGATGCAAGCACTGACTCTGTGCAGTGCTTGCCCATATGCTTCGCATGACATTTCACACTCCCTGTTTCACCAATAGACGATCTGAGAACCCGGACAATCGGGTCATGCTTTCGGAATGCTCGAACTCTACCTATCCCAATGCCCTGACGGCGCACCTGTGCAACTTACCCTTCATTCACTGATGCAGTTTGAACGCGAAAGCGGTCCACGAAAGGAGCAAGGCTCCCTTTGTGTGGGCTGTAGCAGCATGTAGCAGGGACGGTGGCCGCCCTGGGCACAGAAGTTGTGTTTGAGGTGATTTGTGCCTCAGGGACTGGCGACCTTGTCAGGAATTGCACTTGTCTCATCGAAAGCTCACATGCCCGAATTCAGGCTGGACTCGATCCGAGCTTCAACCGCCTTGCTTGGAGCAAGGGCATGTGAAATGCACAGTTTCCGGCCTGCTCAGACTCAGCTGAACTGGTGTCTTCCTGACCGAGGAAAGTGCCCAGTACTTGAGGCCAGCACGTCTACTTGCAGCTGAGTGGCCACGCCGATGAACGATGAAGCAAGTTTTTCAGCTCACGGGCCTCAACGGCACCCTGCTAGCAAAGAGACCAAAGCCGGAATAAAAAGAGGAAGAGAGAGGGAGAGTAAGCTGCCTCTGTCCTACCTGGCAGAGAGAGAGAGAGAGAGAGAGAACAAAGCAAGACTGTTTTCAGCAGGTGGACAGCAACTCTGACACGGCCGAAGCAGCACTGTCTCGTGCAGCCGACCTTTCAGCCCATATCCACGCCTAGGTCGGAAGTATCTCAGAACAGCGCTTTGTTAGTCGAAGTTGCATGAGTCGCAGACTTTACCGATTGGGACTGTGTAGCAGACACACTTTATCACGCACTGCCTCTGTATACCAAGAATCCGAGAAATGGCAGGATCCATCAGGAAATCAGCATGTTGACACCGCCCTCGGTTCATCGTTCAGTCGTTGCGCAGAACGCCTCGGAGAGGCGTGCAGTTGCCGCAGAGAGGCGTGAGCAGGCGCTGGCAGCACAGCTGGTGCAGGAAAGAGCCCGTGCACTGGAATGCAGACGACAACAGCTACAACTTGCCCAACGCGAGCGAGAAACATACCTGGAACAGGTTCGAGCCTTCTTTGATATGGCATCCGCCGTGCAGGGCGTACACGACAAACCTGTTAGTCTCTGTCATCCGTCAGTTGGGCCTGGCTTGCACCGAGCGGGCAAAAGCTGCAGTTCGAACGAAAGGCGACCGGCCTCCGTAGACAAAGCTGCTGTGACCGCGGTGTCCAAGTCACAACCTGGATGGAGCGAAGTGTCCACCGCTGCTCCGTCGACTGTGGGAGAGGAGGATCAAGTGGATCTATGCACTACACCTGCTGAGGCAGAAATTGGGTCAAGGCTCAGTGCATCTTTGCGTGCTTGGTTGAATCGAGCTGACGATGAAGCTGACAAGGAAAGTCATTTGGCTGTCGACAGTAAAATTCCCGAAGAGATGGAATCCAGCAACTCGCTACAGCAACTCGAGGTTGCGCTCGCAGGGGAGATCAGGGCAGCTGAAGAGAGGGATCCGTTGGATGAGACCCTTTCTTCCAGTGAGGATGACGTCCCCGAGTCACGTATGCCATCATCAGAAATGCGCAATCGCGCTTTGCCTTGCTCCAAGTTCGACAGTGCAACGAAGCCTGCGCATGCACAAGCAAGCGCCAATGAATGTGACAGCTCACGACCCAGGCGAGTCATCCTAGCAACAAAGTCATGCAAAGACTCTACTCAGTGGTGCTGCTATCACACCACGGCAAGCCAGAGACAAGCCGAATGAAGTGGTAGCACTTGTGAGTCAGAAACCGGACCCGACGCAAGCTCCTTTCGCGACATCCCGGATGAAGATAATCTTTTGGATTATTTTGTGGACCCTGGCAGGTGTGCAGTCCCAACAGGGCAGTGCGCTGTTGCTGTTTGCAGGCGACCAGGGATTCCGGCGAAGACAGTATCCTTAGTCGGGGGTCGTGAGCGGCAGTGGTCTCTCTGTACCGCAGAATCTAAATCTGACTGCCGCAGGACGACAGATGTGGAGCGACGCCGAAGACTTGAAGCTGCGCCAAAGCAGTCAGCTACCCGGCAATCTGCTCTGTCTTCTCTGCAACACGACGCCAAGACACAAGCATATCTTGCACACGAGCATAATGATTTGTTGGTGGTGTTGGCTGGCTTCGCTTCCCGCGCCTGTTAATGCTACCTCACACGTAAGGATACAGCAGCCCGTGGGCTGGTAGTTTGTATGATGATGTCCTGCAGACACTCAGAGAGGACGTTTGGGGTTTGGTGTGACCGTTTTGTCATGATTGCCGAGGGCACGCAAATCACAGGCCAAGCAGCCGTGCAGGCAGTGTTGTCGAAATAATCGGCCCAAGACAAAGTGCCAGCATGTGCCAGCGATGTCTCAGGACGCCAGCGCCAATGACCTCGCTGAAGGCTTTGTCTAGTGAAGAAGAGGCAGTGGCTGACAGATGGTGATCAAACTTGTGCCTGAGTCTCAGTTGCAAGGCTCTGCAAAAGAGTCTGCTGCGCTTAGACTTTGAGGACAGTTCCGTCAAATCCAGATGCATCTCGACAATCTCTGTCACAGCCAGCTTCTTGCTACCATCTCCTGTGTCACAGGAGATGAAGCGTCAGTTCAGTGGCAAAGAGCCCTTGTGGCGAGATGCTGAGGCTGCCATCGTGATCCGTCATGCCGCCACCTAGAGATAGAATCGTTTCAGCGGACCTTTTTGCCCTGCTACCACGAGCAGCTGACCCCAGCTGCTAGTGAGCGGCAGGTGATGCGTGACACCTTCAAGGATGACCCTGACAGAGAAAACAAGCTCCAGGCAAGGTCAAGCGGAGACCGGACCAGAGGAGACACACAAAGATCTGCAGTCCAGGCATCTCTCCAACGACTTGACGGAGCTTTCAACGCTTTGCAGGATCAGGTGGAGGTCTCCAGTTTATACTGGATATCACACGGCTGCTTAGATGGGCACGTCTTAGATCTGCGCCGCTGCAGGTTAGGCTGGAGAGGGAGCGGGCTCTTGCAGGCAGGTGATTCAAACTCAATCCGACTATGTCTGCGTTTCCGCACAAGACAGGCTGTGACAAGAATCCAGGAAAGGCACCTGCTCCAGCTTGTCAAAGGCCATCTGAGCAGGGCAACGAGTCTACACATTCGTCGAATTGTTGGGCCACGAGGCGGAGACCGTGCAGCGCTGTCGGTCGTGGCCGCGCTGTGACCAGAAGACGAGCTCGAAGTCAGCCAACTGTGCCAAGCCCATGGCATGAGAGCGTTTTTTCACTGGATATGAACGTTGGGTCTGTATAGATCATCTTTTGCCGGCTTTCGAGCCACACGTTTTTGCGTCACAGGTACCGATAATATCATGTCCCCCGAGTTCCGGCTCCAAAGGCGTGGGACAAGTAGCATGGAGATGCAGAGTGTCATTGTGCTCGCAATAAAGGCTTAGGGCGTAGGGTCTCGGGTTCGGGGCGGATTGCTTGATCGGCTGATCGGCGTAGCACGGTTTGGGCCCCAAAAGCCACGAACAGAGTGCTTCTGCTGATTGAGATCTCACGTGCAGTCTGTGGCCGACTATGTGCAGGCCGTGCAAGTACGTCCACGACGGAGGTTGGACAATGATATTTTTCTGTGCGGACATCACTCCCAGACGGTCTCCGGAGCTCAGATATTCAAAAGAAGCGGATTTTCTTAGATACAGTGAGGCTCCCGATTCACCTGCACTCACAGGAGAACTCTCGAATCCATGTCACAAGCACATGATTGTAGATGTACATCTATGTACAGCCCGTTATCATAAGATAGCATGGCGGTATGTCATGCGATGTTGAAATGACGTCCCACCTTTGTCCTCGGACATGATGTATCCGAGGATGTCTCACCTGAATTGTGGTAGTAGAATCAATGCAGCATGCTTTCGGACTGGTGGCTAGGGCCCTGAGCTTGGCTTGAAAGCTGCTTCTGCATTTTAGCTCAGCCTCTTTGCTGTCTCTTCTCGTCACTTTGACTTTACAAATGATTGCCAAGTATTCAGATTTGCAAAGCCCGGAAACGGATGCGACTTGCCCAACAACGTCATGAACTAGCACCCGCGAAAACTTTGCTGGATTCCAGAGAGTAGAACTGCAACCGTGCATGGCTCAGAGGTACTTTCAGGGTTGGCATGTTCCACAACATATATTGCACGGGCTGTACTGATAAGCTACGCATAGAGGCTGTTGCAGTCAGGGCAGCCGACATGCCTCAGACCTACATCACGGAAAGTGTTACAAGGACGCACGGAAGTGTCGCTGACTGTGGTCGCCCTCTGAGGTACGCCAGAGTTGTATGTCTTGTACAGGCTTTGTGAGATTGTGGCCCCTCGCCAGGCAATGGATGTGACCCCGCAGCAGCGGGCGCTTGTGGAGCAGGAGCCGCTTCACAAGAGCGTAGGGCAAAATGCTGGCAAGCAGCGTCTTCTCTGCAGGTAAAGATCTGGTTCACTTGCACTGAGATGGAGGTGTGCTCTGATGATTTGATGCATCCTTGCTCTGTGCAGGTGCAGTGAGCCCTGCTGGTGCTAGCTTAATTGTTTGCTGAGGCCCTGGTGCAGACGGCCGTTCAATTTGCAGATGCACACTGTTCTGTGTTCGAGCCCGAACTGGGCGAGCACAAGCTGGAGTGCGCCACTTCGGTTGTGGCATCGCATACTCTGGAGGTTCTGCAGATGTTTGTACTCGTTTTGTGTGCTGTTTGCATTCTCCTGCTCCCTGCTGCAGAGCAGGTACACCCGGCTACACAACGAATTCAAGCAGCTTTTTGAGGATGCTGTTTCGTTCTTCGGCAGCTTGTTTCGCATCTTCGAGTGCTCCCTTGTCTAGCGTGTTACACGCCAGGACAGGCTGAATGCCTTCTTGAGCAGCGTCGGTGCAACGCCCGAGGCAATGGAGACATGAAGCCTTTCTCCTATGTCTTGTACAGCCGATACAGCTTGCAGGCGTTCTACGAGGCTTTTGAACAAATCGGGACGGAAGAAGGAGGCAATGTTTCATGTGCAAGCAACCGCATGTTGGTCACCTGAGTGCAGGCGAGGTGCAGGGACTTGCAGAAATCATGTACACGTGTCTGCAGTACGACTTCTTCTGCCAGGCACGCGGCATTCAGTGGAGTGTCGTTCGTGTAGAGCACACCTTGGAGAGACTTTCGCGAAAGTTGAGTGACCTAGAACCTCAAGCAAATTTCTGGCACAAGACAGCATGGATCGTCCCACTCCTTAGTCTCCCACTGTGACCCCAGCTTCCCTCGGACTGCAGGATTGCCTATATGTCCCACAGTGATTGCCATGTGACTTCATGCCACCCTTGGGATTTCACTTGGCATTGGACTCCATGCCGATTGAGTCTGAGCACTTGCACCCGACCGACCGTCAAATTCAGGTCAGTATTCCATTCCATCGCTCCGACGTCAGCACAAGATGGGTTTTGCCTAGCTTCTTCTATGTGACATTTCAACATCCAGTGGTATGCCACTTTACCACAACTTTTGGTGAAGGGTCGTCGTGGGTTTATATGTCATCCCGCGCTGTAGCACCGGACTGACGCAGGGGATGGGTGACGACCCTGTTTCTTACCCTTACATGGTTGACAAAACGCGAAGGACTTCGGCTCCCAACGCTGCTACAAGAACCTCGCAACCGAGTTTTAGGTCCGCAGGTCTTTCAACGCCTTACGCCGGCGTCGTCGGACTTATCATCTTTTCCTGTCGCGATCACCTGCCGACTGTAGGAGGCTTCTTTCGGACTCACCTTTACCTTGTGGTGCCCACAAACAATGCCCTGATCCCGCCACCGTAGTGAAGAGCTTTGTAAAAAAATGCTCATCGTGTAGTGTTTCCCACACCGTACACTTCCGACAACTGTGTTTTTTACCTGAGTTCCCTCGAAAAAATGCTGACGAGTCTTCTCACCTGTGGACGCGCTTGTCGCATGGAGAAAGAATGTGAAAGAGAGACAACTTCCCTCAAAAAGACTTCGGTTTGCTCTGGTAGGGGTTGTCGGGAAGCACACTCGTGTGCGCAGTGACATGTGATTAGAGTTGTGCCACGGCAGCAGTTGTGGCACAACTCCGCGGAAGGAGAGATTTTCAGTTAGATCTCCTCTGAGCCATGGCTCATTGCTCGGAGGCTGAGAGGCTCTTCGCGGTGCTTCGCGTGGAGCGAGTTTCTGAAATCTCCGGTTGGGACTATCACTGCGCTTACGACATTCTGCTGGAGTTTCTTCGCCACGACATTATGGATCTCGTCTCGCTGATGCTGCCGAGAGAGGGCGCCATGCTCTTCGCTGTCAGGGACATTCTCACGTCTCTCAAGTGCGATGCTGGAGAGTGCATTCTGTCCGGCCAGTTTTTGGCCCCACATCGGGGTGCTCAGGACTTGCTGGTGTCTGGAGGTCCCGCGGTTCGACGCATCCGGGAAAACTCTCGAGTATTGGCATCGTTCACCCTTGGCTCGGGAGCCGGTCGTCATGGCCTCATGTGGTTACAGCAGCAGTACAGGCTGGCGGATCAGGACAGGGGTTATGGTCTAGGGTTTATCGCTTCAGCAGCGATCTTGTCGTTTTCAACTTGTTGCTGTTTGTGACAGAGCTTGCAAAACGGGCTCAAGGCATAGCGGCCACGATGGCCGCCCAGTTGTGGGATGTGTTGCGGGAGCGGGGGCTGCAGTCTTTGGCGCCTTTGCTTCTCGAAGCTAAAGTAGTTTCTCTCGATGGTGTGCGGGCGCATCGCGACACCCTACGAGAGGCTGGAGTTACTGATCCACAGCTGCGACTGCTGCTTTCGGAAGAGGCAGCGGCGCAGCCGTCAAGCATCAGGAAAGGACTTTGCTAGTGCCAGTCGAGCCCAATCTCAAGGCTCTCATACGCGATTGCAAGCGGAGCATATTGCGTGGTCTGGGCCCCGATCAGCTGAAGGATTCCTTCGAAGTGCCCAAGTTGCGGGCATTGATTCCCGCGACGGATTGGGGGATCGCTCCTTGGGACCCGAGCGATGTGCATTCGTGGTTGGATGCAGTGATTATAAGTTTGTGGTTCATGTTCAGAGAGGTGGAGCTTGCCTCGTTGCGTCGGGGTCACTTCTATCTCGAGGATGGCCAAGTGGTGGTTCTTATCGCCAGTGAAAAGAAGGACACTCAGGGCTCCCTCACGACTCGGAGCCTCACGTGTTCATGTCGCTTCAAGCGACAGGTCTTTTGTCCATTCCATGCAGCTCGACGGCACCTGCAGCGCTTGCATCAGTTTGAGATCGCACGCGGAGCCAAGGCCGACTTCGCCTTCCCTGACCCTTCGGGACAGGAACTTTCCAAGGCTGCTGTTGTTAGGGGATTTCGCTCGGTTTTGCACGCAGCCGGCATAGCTTTGACACGGCCAGACGAAGCGGGTGTCCATGTACAACGTTTTCATGGGCACATGTGTCGAGTGTCTGGCGCGCAATGGTTGATCTCCCTCAATCTGGCAGTTCATTTGGTCCAGATACTCGGGCGTTGGAGTTCCGCCGCTATCTGGAAATATGTACAGAGCACGCCTTTGCTGCAATTGCCCGCAGCGACGGCCCAGGCTCTCTGTTCCGGGGATACAGCAGCCAGTTTCGAGGAATCCGCTGAGGTCACCGAGGCCGTTGCTTGTCCATCGGCGGCGCCAGCGGCGTCGAGCAGCCAGTCCCCGACCATGCAGGACTTGCTAGCCATTCGTGAAGAGATGGAGGCCCTTCGCAGCGCAGCCAAGCCTAGGGGGGAGACTTTTGTACAATCGGTGCGATCCCGAGTCATCCATCGGATCAAGGTGGACGAGGAAAGCAATCCTCCTAAGAAATGGAGGACGGTTTGTGGATGGCCCTACGGGGTCCGCAATTTCACTCGCCTACCTGCAGCAGAAGCATCGGATGACAAGTGTTGTCAGCGGTGCTGGGAACCACGTGACGATGAATCGTCGTCGTCATCATCCTATCCCTCGTCCGGGTCTAGCAACAATTCGGCCGATGCCGAGAGCAGTTCTGATATCGGCGAGTATGCCTGATCCTTCACCTTAGTGGCGCCACGATTGCGCTTCGTCTTGTGGTGATCGGAGGTTTTTCGGCCCTCCTCGGGCGTAGTCTTTGCCTTTTGATAGGACCGGAGCTGTGTGCAAGGACGTGAACATGGGCCCCCGCTCGAAAGCGTGACCATCTTCGTAGATTGTCGTAGATCGATTGTGCCTCTGCATCGGAACGTTCTTGCTTTTGCGATTTAGATGCCAATCACCGAGCGCCGCAGGATCTTGACCTCACCCCCCTGGCCGACTCTGCTCTGGCCGAGATCGTCAGGACAAGGTGTGAGAGTGCTGGGATCGCCCGAGCTCCGGCTTCGAGTGTTGTTTTGACAAATCTAGACTAGCCTGTGTGTGGCAGTCTCGGATCGGAGCGGCCCGTGAGAGGGCTCGCTTGTATATGTCACCAGCTGTGCGGAGGCGGCAACGTGTCGAGGCAAAAGGAGTGGATCGATTCTGGATCCGTTTTTACCCTGCCTCTTGACAGCATTCATAGTGATTCCGATTCCCAGCTGGCGGATGAGCCGGATTTACTTATAACTCTAAGCCGCGGGACGAGTAGCTGTCCGCTAGCGAAGCAAGGCCAAAGGGTGGTCTCATAAGGCGCGCGGGTCGAGGGCCGTTGACGAGCACAATCTCTTCCCATGGCAGTTCGGATCAGGTGTGCGAGAGTCGCGTTTCATGTGTTATCTCCAGGACTGTCAGGTCGGTTTAATTCCTCACATCAGTGCGTAGGCAGTGTGATTGTGGATTGGTAAGCTTCTACATTAGCAGCGCATCCATGTCGGAACCATCGATCGATGAGCTTGCTCTCCAAGCCGGAGCCGGGGGCGAGATCAAACGATATTTGAGCGAACGCGGGATTCGCTCTTCTGGCGCTCTTGCATTGATAGCAAAGGACCAGGACCAATTCGACAACCTGATCGTGGGACCACTCCTCGATGGCTGGCGCCCCGATCCGATGCAGCCTGGAATCGACTTGAGCGATGTTGAGAAACCAATCGCCAAAGCCATCCTTCGCTTCATGTGGTGCTTGGCGGTCGAGCACAGACAGAAGGCGGCTGCAGCGGCGACCGCACCCATTGCTTCTCCGCCGGCTTCTTCAGCGGCGCTTGGAACATCGACTCCCGCGGATGCTTCCGCCGCCAAGGTTCCTAAGACGTTACCGGCTGGCGAATGGCGGACTCTCATCGAGAGGTACAATGGTGTTCTTCTGAATGGTCAGAAGCGCATCTTCCCTGAGAGGGAGTTGCTAGGGGCGGAATCCGTGGTCGCCCGGGTTCTCCACGAACACCGGGTGACCAAACAATACTCTCCGATCCAACTAGGAGAGATACTTCAGCGCCGCAGCTTTCAATCCAACGGGGAAGTCAATCCACTGGCCAAACGCAGTCGGTCAACTCGGTTGTCCGTCGAGGACGGCGTCTTGCTCGAAGAGCCGCACGCTGAGGAAGACTGGGTGCCTCGTGGCTCGCTGAGCACCATGGACGGCCTCAACAGTATCCGATGGTGTTATGTTTTGTGCGAGCTCGGCCCAGAGCTTGAGATTCATGAATATTTCGATTCCATGGTTCGCAAGTCCCGCCTTCGCAACAATCAGGTGCAGCGGTTCAAGGCTTATTTTGAGCAGGCGTCGTGGCGGCTCTGCGCACGCTTGAGGGCCAATCACACGTGGAAGGAGGCGGCTCAGGAGATCATGTCTGACGTCGCGGCGTTCCAAGAGGCCATGCTCAAGGAGGAGCCCGCGGTTCCTTCCCCCAATAAGCGCAAGTTCGAGGAGACGCAGCTTGGTGAGCATTCGTGGATCCCGCAGCCGAGGAAGGGCAAAGGCAAAGAGAAGGGCAAGACGACTGGTGGTCGCAAGGGCACCGGGAAAGGTAAGAATCAGTGGAAGTCGAGTTCGAGTTCTTGGGAGCGTCCGTGGCATTCCTGGTCTCGAGGTGAGGCCAACGATGATCGGCATTAGGGACAGCTCGGGCGGCCCACGGCCGAAGCGGGCCGACCCGACACCCATATCGATTCGGCAGATTGGTTCTATCTTTCTCAGCTGACGGGCACTGTCGACCGGGTGTCTGTGGATGGGGATACTCAGGCTGAACCGACGGATTCGTCGAGCGGTCTCGGAGGCGATGCTGGCTCAGGTCCGCGCGCTCCACCGGTGAACGAGTCTCCGAGCGGCTCTCCGGCCAAGCCGTTGGAGTCAAGGAGTCCGAGTGTCGCCGACAGTGCGTCTGTTTCCAAGCCACCGCTTCATGTGACTCTTCCCCCCCTCAGCGGCATCGATGACGTGATCATCCTTTCCATGTTTGATGGCATGGGTTCAGCCGTCTTCGCAGTGCAACAACTGGGGGTGCGGATCCGGGCCCTGTTCGTCTGGGAGATTGATGCGGCCGCAGTTCGGGTCTCGAACACATTGTTCAAGGGTTTAAGGTTTCAACGAGGCGACTTGGAGGCGGATGATGCGACCACGGTCGCCCACATGTTGCAGCAGATGGACCCCGGTGCTCGCTCACCCATCCTTGTGCTAGCGGGGCCCCCGTGCCCTGACTATTCTCGCTTGAAGGAGGGCGACGGTAGGCAGGGCAAGACTGGTCGTTTGTTTCAGCCTTTTTGTGATTTCCTTGACGCTCTGGAACATCACCTGTCCGATCGAGTTCTTCACATCATAGCTGAGAATGTGCTGATGAATCGCAAGGAGGACGTCGACTACTTCAGTCGCCGCATGCGGTGCTCTCCCACTTTGATATGTGCCAGCGATTTCGGCCTCATCAGCCGCCCGAGGCTTTGGTGGACGCGGCTTGATTTCGGCGTCTCCAAAACAAACCCCGTTACGGGGAAGCCCATGAGGTGGAGCAAGGCTCATGGGCAGCATCGGCTTCACATCGATCCTCCACGAGATGATCCGAAGGCCATCAAGATGCCCGGTCTGGAGTTCCATCAGTCCATTTTGGACGGCAGCCGCCGGTTGCCATGCCTGACAACGCCAGCGGCCAGTGACGCTGGTCGCGAACCGCCTCGGAGTCTCCACGGCGAGGTGGATGCAGGCACTCGTCGGCGGTGGCTCGAAGGAGGCCGCCAATATGCTCCATGGAATTACGGTGAATCATCCATGGTATCGTCTGCGGATGGAGAGCGCCAGCTGCTACCTGCAGAAGTGAAAGAGCAAGCTCATCACTTTTTCTCAGGCGTCACCCGAGTTCAGAACGTCTCGCCCAAGGACAGGCATCGCCTTTTGGGCAACAGTTGGCACGTGGGTGTTGCGAAGTTCGTCATCTGGCTGGTCTTGTCACAGATAGTTCAGTCTCGAGCTGATGCGGTTCCCGGGCAGCCGACCACACATGATCCATTCCTTTCCGAGGTGTTGCAGCAGTGTCGTGCACGAGAGTTGCCACTCAGTCGAGGCCCAGACTGGCCAGTTTTTGCTTGCATGCCTCCCACTGATTCTGAGTGGGAACACTGGTTTCTGAGTTACACGGCTGAGCACCCTCTGCTGTGTGAGCCTAGGGTGAGCCGCGCTTTAGAGCTCGTGTATGCTCAGATCGCGAGCCTTGGAGAAGGCATTGACTCTTATCGCCGGTCTGTTTTGGCGAGCCTTCAAGCGCTCGTTCTAGCCCGCAAAGAGAGTTCAGATGCATGGTTCGCATCTTTGAAGCCTCATGTTCGAGCAGCCTATCGTCTCGATTCCCCCGTCGGGTATTTGCAGATTCCTGTTTTCATTGAGCTGATCCGAGGCTGTGGCTACCCGGAATGGGAAGCTTTGGCTTCCGAGTTGACTCAGGGCCTGCCGATGCTTGGCAGGTTGCGTCCATCTCCAGGCTGGATGCCGAGATTGGACGAGAAATACCAGGAGCCCATTTCGTTGGCAGCCTTCTCTGTTCTGAATAAGCATCACGTCGAGCAGCGGCTGCAAAATCCACGAGTGGACGCGGAGTGGGAGTGTCTGCTCAAAGAGGTGATGCAGGAGGTTTCTGAGGGCCGCATGGAAGGCCCATTCCGGGCACCGGCTTCCTGGAGGCGACAAACGGTTGCAGTGGCCGACGCCCCTGGTTTCGACCAGCTACTGGAGTGTCCTGACGAACACCCCTTTGCTGCCTGGGCCTTTTCTGTCGTGCAACAGGGTTCCGATGGAGGTCGCAAGGTTCGACGCTGTGAAGATTACAGACGTAGTTGCCATAATGATACGATTTCTGCATCGGACGTGCCCCCACATGATGATGTGTCCGTGTATGTTGCGATGGTGCGATACCTACAGAGCCGAGGTGAGTTTTCCATGATTTGGGCCCAAGACCTCCAATCAGCCTACAGACAATATCCTGTGTCGGAACCCTCCCATTGCTACGTGATCGTCATGACCCCGTCAGGACCAACTCTCTGGCGACATCGGGTCATGCCTTTCGGGGCTACCGCAAGCGTTTTTCATTTAACAGGATAACAGATGCTCTCATCTGGCTGGCCAGGAATCTTTTGGCGATACCCATCATTCACTATGTGGATGATCTGGGAAGCGTGGACCCGGCCAGTTCTTCCGCGTCCAGCTACAAGGTGTTTGAGTCTTTCTGCCAGTTGATGGGTTTTCGCTTGAAGGAGTCCAAGGCTCAAGCGCCCGATGTTCGGCAGAAGCTCCAGGGCGTGGTCGTTCAAGTGCAGGACTCGGGCGTGCTCGTTGAGCCTTCGCCGAGTCGAGTGGCCAAGCTCTTGGCGGAAGTCCGGCTCATATTGCAGTCCGACTGCCTGTCACCTGAGAACGCAGCCAAGTTGGCGGGCAAAATCGGCTTCCTCAGCACTTCGCTGTGGGGCAACATCGGACAGGCTCTTTCTCGGCCTCTGCACGGTCGCGCCAGGGGCAGTCGCGACGCCGCGCAAACCCTGAATGGTGGTTTGCGTTCTTCTCTTGAGTGCTTGCTTGAATTGCTTTCCCATCCGATGCCGAGGTTCATTCCATACTCACGGAACGACATCGATGTCTCAGTTCTGTACGCAGATGCGTTTTTCGAGTTGGGCGATCGGAAATGGTCCGTGTCTCGTGATGAGCTGCCGTCCAGGTGGCCCTCGAAGATGCACTTAGCAGCCAACGGCTGGGGTTTCCTGTGCAGGCATTGCGGCTCTGTGACTGTTGGTCACGGCCAGGTTCCGCCAGACGTCTTGGCTCTTTTCAGTTCGCGAAGAGCTTTTATTTATTTCCTCGAAATCTTTGGTCAAGCTATCAGTCTCTTAACCAACAAGGATCGCATTGGCAAGTTTTGGGTGTCTTTTTGTGACAACCGTTCGGGTCTGTCGGCCATTCGCAAGGGATATGGCCGCGATGAGGCCATCAATCGGTTCCTCTCGTGGTTCCACGCTCTCATGATACGCATGAGATGGCACGGGCACTTCGAGTGGGTCAGCAGCGGTGCCAACCTCTCCGACAAGATCAGCCGGGGAGACCTGTCGATGGCTCGCGCAAGGGGATGGGATATGCTCTCCTCATCCCTCGATGGCATCTGGCCGATAGTCAAGCGGATTGCAGTGGACTCGGAGTTCGCCAATGGTCCAGCTGTCGATGCGATGTTGTCCTTTTCCTGGGCTTTCCAGCAGTGCTCCACTTGAGTGGGGACGGGGCGGTGGAGCTGACGGCTGGAGTGGCGGCAGATACAGTCAGCTGCCAGCTCCACATCAGAGAGACTCTGCTCAGCCCCTTTTGACGCACTCTGAAAGACGAAGGGTCGAGGAGAAATGAGCGATTGATCCCTCGATGCATTCATTGTGTACAAATCATTGAACATGTCGGGAAGCACACTCGTGTGCGCAGTGACATGTGATTAGAGTTGTGCCACGGCAGCAGTTGTGGCACAACTCCGCGGAAGGAGAGATTTTCAGTTACCCGCCTCTCCCAATCCCCCTTTGTCTCACGTGGGCTTCGCATCGGGCTGAGTCTCCGTGGGGCGGCAGATACAGTCAGCTGCCAGCTCCACATCAGAGAGACTCTGCTCAGCCCCTTTTGACGCACTCTGAAAGACGAAGGGTCGAGGAGAAATGAGCGATTGATCCCTCGATGCATTCATTGTGTACAAATCGTTGAACATGTCGCTTCAGCAGGAAGTGCGCAACTCGCGCCCACCGGCTGAATAGCTTTGAATTCCCCTCACCAGCCCAAATTCCACTCAATAGCATTTTCTCCGAGTAGATCCTTCAGCGCGACTTTGTCTTGCCAGATCATGTGCGAACGGAAGCGCGAGATGGAAATGCAGCAGGCTTCGCTTCGTGTACCCAGTTCGTTGCCTGCAAACCGTGATTCAGTTTGGCAGGCAACCGGGGTCCTTCCAGCTCCGCCGCCTGCGCCACCTGGCGGCTACGCAGGCGGCTCCGAAATTATCTTGCGCAGAAGCATCTGAGCTTCTGTCCGTCACCGGACATCTGACATCAACGCTCTCGCAGATCCACGAGCTCAAGGTGCAGAAGGTTATTGTGCTGGCGCGCCGCTGGCGCCCCCCTGAAGCCAAAATGAGCTTCCGCCAAGCTTCCAGTGCCGACTTGCGTGCGGAGTTGGGCGCAGTTCCATGCAATCGCCAGCTCTCCTTGAACCTAGCACGTGGCTTGAGGGCGGCGAACAGCTTTTAGAGTGTACAGGTCGGCAGTTTGCACCGCGCTCTTAGCAAGCTCAACCTGGAACTTGGACTCGGATTCCTCAGGCGAATGTCCTTAGCGAAACTTCACAGATTTTTCTGGGACAGCTCCGAATCTGAGGGTCGCTTTGGTTCAGCTCTCAACCTGCAGCAGTCAAAGACTCAAAGACACAAGAGATGCGGATGCGGGGTCTTGGTAGGCCTTCATGAGCGGTTCCCTAAAGTAGTAATCAAAGCAAAGCCTTCCATGTCGCTTGAGAAGGTTACAGCAGCGGCAACCTCAAGACCGAAGAATGCAGACCTGTGAGTCGAAACAAACATCGACTCAACCGTTTTCTTGCGCGAGCATTCCCAGGGCACTGGCGGAAGTTCGTCTTCCAAAGCAGCCCGCCCCGTGCGATCGCACAAGGCAACGAGTCTCTTTGGCCTTGTCTGCACATGCTTCAATCCAGAATGATTCAATTCAGTATGCAAAGTTCCATGGTCTATGGCTGGCCTGCTTCAGGTGGTTTTCCTGGGGCAGTGCGGCACTGGCAAGACAGCACTCATCCGACAGTTTGTGCACAGGAGCCCTGGACTCCATGTCTGCTTGTTCTCACTGAGAGTTCCTCAAGGACTTTTGACCAGAACTACACTGCCACCATTGGCATGGACTTTGTTGGAAAGTTGCTCTCTCTCGAGGTGTCGCTCGTGGCTTCCCACCTGCAATCGGAACTTCCTGCACAACCGAGGGACGGCAACTGCGCCTACAGCTGTGGGACACTGCCGGCCAAGAGAGGTTCCGAGCATTGATGCCCAGTGCTGACCCCAGCTCCACTGCCCGCGTTTCTGATCAAACATGACCAAACGCTGCAATTGAGTTGGAAGTCATGGTAGTCGTGTCTCAGGTTATTTGAGAGACAGCTCGGCCTGTGTTGTCGTGTACGACGTCACATCCAAGGCGCGGCGCTGTCCTGACAATGATCTCGCATTAAGCTATGGAGACATGGCGAGCCTTCTGCTATTCGGCGATTGCTGAACGAAGAATCGTGTTCCGACGTCGTTTCACGATTCTAGAGGGGAGCCGTTGTGGAGGAGTCCTTTGACAGCATCCGCGGCTGGGTAGACTTGGCCCTTGAGGACGGGTAGCTGGCTCTGAAGTGAAGACATTTTTCAGTCTTCCGCTGAGCGGTCCTTGATTGACACCGTTTTGCAGGGTCGCTCTCGTCGCGACTTGCTGCTCGTTCTTGTGGGGAACAAGATCGATCTGGAGGCACGTCAGACAATGCGGCAAGCAGATTTGCCTGCTCATTTGTCTTTTCCTGCTCACTTTTCGCATTGTCTTGTCAAGAGATGGGAAGCATCAACTAACTGCGCAGTTGTAGTACAGAGGCGAGCCAATCAAAACAACACCATGGGTTGCAAGAAAGCGTGCTAGCTGGCAAAACGTGTTCTCATTGGCAGCTTCGCGATCACAAGCCCTCTTGCAATCCTCCCATGGTGGGCGTGGGCTCGCCTCCTTCCTGGTCTGTGGGTCAGCTGGAGCGAGTGCAGGTTGCTGGGCATTAACTGTTCAATTTTGAGTAGGCCGAGTTGGCATTCTGAATCGGGCACAGCGGCGTCTGACTGAAGCGCGAGAGCTTCATTGATGACGGAATCTCGCATCTGCATGGGGCTAGAGATCTAGGGAGAGACGGACGGAGCGTGGATCGTGGTTCGCTCCAGCGATAGGCGTGCATCTCTCGGCTGCACGGTGCCACCGCTCCAAAGAGCGGTGCCGTCGTCGCCAATCGTCTGAAGGAGCCCCAAACAAGGAAAGGCTGGGCCCAAAAACGGACCAGCAGCTCCCGCGAATCGAGGCCCTTGCTACCCAGCCTGATGTAAACTTGCTGCAGAGACTTGATTTGAAAGAAGGTAACGCTTACCGATGGCTACCGAATGATGCTTGGTACTCGTATACCCGTAGAGCATTGCTATTTACTCGGTGTTTGTGTGGATCGCAGGACGGCGCCGGATGGTGTGGCGGAACCAGGTGCATTCAAGAAAAGAAGGGCTGAGTCTATTTACACGGGAGTTGTTCTGCCGCTCGAAGGGAGTTGGGCTCGCCCAGGCACAAGCGATCCAAGTTTTCGTGCTACGCAGGGAGCACCGAAGCAAAAGGGGGCCCCGGGATGTGCAGGCAAAGCCCGAAGCCCGGGCTCAATTGGGTTCAGGCCAGTCTCCTGACACGTGAACTACAGCGTGTCCTTCCTGGCTACCGGCAGGCCCTTCTCTCTTTTCTCGTCCACACTCCACAAGATGAAAAGCTGCGCCGCACAATTCTCCCTGGGTTGAGGCGCAGGTGCCATAGACCACGCACTCCCGCAAATTGCCTGTACAGGTTTTGCAAAAATTTGACAACTTCAGGATCGGCACACGGTCGTCACGGCACCCAACGACTAAAGAAGCATCGAGCTCAAAGGAGACATGCGCTTGCGAAGCAAAACCAAAGACTCTTCCGTGAGTTGACGTTGTGACGGCGCCGGCACTTGCTTGCTCGGCTACCCTTTCGGATGTGGAGCTGAAGGGCCTGGGCATGATGAATCCTCGCAGCTGAGGATCCATGATGACCCTCGTGGGAGCATTCGCCTCTCAGCTGGGTGTGCCCAGCTTTATTGCCAAGATGGTGGAGAAAGGCCCTGTGGCGGAGAAGCGTGGTGAGTCCTTTTTGAGTCTACTTGCTGCAGATGTGATCCCTGAGGATCTCAGGGAAAACCCGACTCTCCGAAAGCGTGGAACGTCACGAGCGAAGCACGTCGACCCCCACACCGGCCACGAGCGTCCGTGGACGCATCGCTTATGCCAAGCTCCTCTACAAGCCCATCCCAAAGGCCTGCTGAGTTTCAGTGCGCCGTCAGTGTGCCGTGTGACACTGTGTAGCGGCCTAGTAAAAAGGAGGGTTTTTGTGCCGGGAAGTCCTGCTATGCCGAGGGTGCAAGGGGACCCAAGCAGCTTGGAGGAGGCCGAAACAGTTTTCCCATTGCCCAGGCATGCTCAGGCCCTAAGCCCTCAGCAGTGCATGCCTATGCAAGGCTGAAGTCAGCAACGAGAGCTACGACAGCGATGAATGCAGTAGCAACGGCGACGATGCGTTCGTTGAACATGCCATGGCTGAGGTGGACAAGTGGATTCATTCCACTTTGTCCCACATGAGTTCATCAGTGTAAAATGTTGTGCGGCGAAGCCGCACGTTTTCCACAGGGTGAATATGCACCCACGCTAGCACATCGTGCCTTCAAAAGGCGCTGGATTGGATAAAATTTTGCAGTGGCTTCTGCCACGGTGCTGGTAACCTCTGTCGCTGAAAGCGCTAGCAGTGTTGCAGCCTGGACAACCCAAACCCACCGCCGGCGCCGGCGCTCTCCAAAGGAAAGCAGTTGCCCCAACTTGGCATGTAAGGGCTTAGGAACAAGGATTTGGGGGACTCGGGGCAGTGCGCCTCGCCAGGAACAGAGGTGTGTACAGAAAGCCGAAGGCGAGGCCTTGGCAGAGGATTTGAAGATGCTCTTCTTCGAGGCCGGCCGCTGCTGTAGCACCCGTCCGCGTTGCTCTCGGGTGTGGCTTGAGCAGGCCACCGCGAAAGATGCGACTCTTGTTGATGCGATTTTCTATGGTTTGGCGGAAGGTCAGCTGAGGGCCATTATGCATTATGAGCTGAGTTCCCAGAAAAGCAATGAAAAGCAGGTTTGACGTCTGAGCAGCACAAGCCCGAATCTGACGACGAGATCGTGCTTACAGCACCTCCTCGAAGACGAGAGGCCAAGAGAAGTCTTGCTAGATTTGGTGGAGTGCTCGCCAGCTCGTGTTTGAGGTGCACGATCGGAACAAGAAATGCTGTTGAGTGGAGTCCGAAACGGATGCAGCTGTACAGAGAAGCTTGCAGGCGGGTGATTTGGGTGCCTCGCTCATTTGCGCTTTTCGAGTTGGCCGTGCGTGCAGGGGCGTACAGTAGCCTGAGCCGAGCCCCGAGCAGTAAAGTAGTACAGACGCGGCAGGCCACTGCACAAAGATGCAAAAGACTGTGGCGCTGTGCAGCTCCGCACTTCGCGAACTTGCGAGGTCGAGCCAGGAATCCAGAACGAGTATGCAAAAAGTATGGCAAGTACCGCTGTATGAAGAAAAAACAGTTTGATGAAGACGAAACACATCGCATCATGGCTCAAATCCTCGATCAGTCGAACCATGATGACCATGTCGAACCTGCAAGAAGTCTGGCTTCTGGACAACGTAACTGGCACACTTCGTGCAGCCGAGCTTCACAGGAGAGAGCACTGAACATCCGCAAACCTCGCCGGCCTTGCCTCACTGACTCCCATCCCGCCCTTCTCGAGCTTGCATCCTAATCTTGGCCTGGAATGCAACATGGGCCTGCTGGGTCTGCCGCTCAAAGCCATGTGTTTTGCTGTGAACCGCATGACTCTTTTGCACGTCGATCACTTTGACGTGGCGTGTTACTGCTTTCGTTCCCTCTCTGGTCCCTTTCGTGAAGTGAGTGGGGTTTTCGGATATGTATGCTTTATGCTTTCCACAGCTGCTGGGGCCTACCATTCACCCGGGCCGGTTCGGCAATGAAGAGGACATGACATGCGTTGGCTTTGTGTGGGATCAACTCGAGCCGGCTACAGCTGAGGGATGCTTGCGATCAGATGGAGCATGGAGCTCAGTCGAAGGCTTGTCGCGACCACGGCCGCCGTTTGCAAAGTTTTCGGAAGCCAGCCGGAATAATTGAATGCAGTAGTTTGATGTCTAGATGTATCTACTTTCCTGAGCATGTAGTGATGCTTGGCAATGTGATGCTTTTGAAGTGTGGAGCCTTCTCCTTACAACCGCGAATGCTGTATCGTCGAGGGTTGATGTGCCAATATGTACCCTTCCTTCCCCGAAGATGCTCCCGCTCTCGCATCTTGCTGTGCTTTGACATTGCATGCACGAAAGCACAGCAGTCACGCAAGAACAGGTCAGCACAGCCTCGTCAGCCCTGCCTGCGGCATGTGCTGCCCAACGAATGCATCCGAGGCCCACGACGTCCAGTCAGGTGTCGGGAAGCTCGGACTCTGATGGTAACGAGGAGGGCATCATCCCAGCGGAGGTGCAGAGCGATCTCTCATCAAAGGGCGAGGGTCGGAGCCTAGGAACTCAAAGGTTGTTGTGGCGGTTGGGCGGTTGGGTTGGGAGAAAGATGTCAATGTGCTCCAAGAAGGTGCTTTTGCTAAGACTTAGATCCCTTCTGAGTTTCGGTCGGAGTTGGGGGCCCGGCCTGCGGGGCCCGTCAGCTCGTCAGCTCTCGGAGCTCGTGGCTCAGCGCAGCGCTCTCACGCTTTCATAGCAGGCTGTTTTGCCTGGCATCATGTCGGAGATTCCCAGTGAGTCGCACCTACAGGCCATCGTGAGCCCACAGGCCGTGGGCAATTGGGATTTGTTTTGTTTTGAAAGGTCCCATGCTTCGGCACGCTGCCGATGCCCTCGCACTCCCCAACTTCGCCCCTTGCCTCGGTGGTCATCCGCACGATGTGACAGATTTCCAGCCACTGCTCCACATAAGAACCAGACGGTGGGGCATAGTGCCTGGTCGGATTGCAAGCGAGGTCACTGAGGGGCTGGGTGGTTCCCCAGTCCTCCTTGGAGGCAGGGCACGTGTGTGCATGCGGATCCTCGAATTTCCAGAACAGGACTTCGGTGGCCCACCAGACGGAGAACAGTTGGCTCGTCTTCCGAGGAGCCTGGTCAGGTAGTCAGCACAAGTAGTTGCAAGCAGAACAGCAGACGGCACAGTACTATACAAGAAGCACTGATACAGCGCTCGTCCGCCGCCGGACACACGTTACGCTGGTTTCCGTCGACCTCCTTATGCAAGTGTTCGCAGGGCTGCAGAAGTGTCTCCAAGATTGCAGGTGGATTTGCGAGTACGGAGCCAATATACCGTGTTGGTGGTGTTCGCGAGTACATCGTCGGTTGCATGGTGGTGTCTCATTAGTGATTTGCCGCATGTCGTCGTGCTTTGGTGACCCAAACGAAACGTGCAACTCGCACCTCGCACCCCCGTACCTCCTGTTCCATGTGCTCCGTGGCCTCGTAGCATCGTCACTCGTTTTGGCTAAGCCGGCCAGGCCCAGGAGCAGGATCTTGGCTGTTCGCGGGCCAGAGACACGGCCAGGCATGAACAAGCCACCGTGCACCAGATCCAACAGTGGCACGCATTTCATTGTTTGTGACTTCACTGGTATGCAGCGGTGTCCAGTTTGATGCTGGTGTGACAGTTTCAGGAGCCACTTGATGTTTGCTGGTGCTTCTCGTGGCTCGGCCGTCCCTTGGATGCTGCAATCCAGCAGGTTGGTCATAATCTGCATTTCTCCACAGCTTCCGCAGAGCATGACATGTGTATTCTGCCCGGAGAATCAGGTCAACTTGCCTAGAAGATCTGAAGCATTGAGACCTTTACCCTCGCCGTGGCGAACTCGGTTTCTACCAGACGAATGCTTTTGCCTGTCGCGATGCCGCTAAAGGCTGAATCAGTTACCTCATAGACTTCGCGGCCCGCTCGAGTCTCAGATGTTCCCCAGAGCTGCGGATGCGGAAACGTACCCTTGACAGAGCTGTGATGCAGCGGAGAACTCTTCATTGCCAGGCGGCGTCCAGCTTTTTTCGCTTCTAGTTATACTGGGCCTCCAGCAGCCCCGCAGGCGGGAGGCTTCTTTATCGTCTTCCCTTACGGTCACCTGTCTGGCAGGGTGACGGTGCTTGCGCTAGCGAACGCAGCTGCAGCTCCGGAAGCTCTAGCAGCTGGGACACGAACTTGACGTGACACGCAAGCATCTGGCTAACTTCACGCAAACTCGACAGCCGAAGGGATCGACAAAGGGCTTCACTTGATGCGGTGCAGATGTACTTGTGTCCAGGCCGACTCTTCGACGCAGAGGCCCTGGCACACCATGTTCATCGTCGCGATGAGTCGTCCCAATACATGTCGTTCAGGTTGACGAGGAGAGCCACAGGAACATGCTTCCGTCGGCAAGTGCCTGAGACTTTGGAGGATTCCATGGAAAGAGCTATCACGAGATGCTATGCAGAAGGCTGCCAGTCGGTCCGGCCGCTCACGCCCCGGACCTCTTACACAGCCGGTCGGCGATGCAGCGGAACTCAGCTCCACTGCAGCTTGAGCACTGCATAGCTGGCAAAAGCGGGGTGATGAAGGCTCACGAAAGAGCGCGGTCTTTGCCCCTACATGACCGGAATCACAGCAGAATGGTCGCTTTGCAGCAAGCATACAATGTGCAGGGGACATGCTAAGTCGGTGAGGCAGCGACAATTTGTTGTGTTTGCCAAGGCTTTGATCTTCTACGACCAGGTATCACCGCCCAGCGCCGGCGTAGAAGAGGACAAGTGCGTTGCCTGCTTGTGGCACCCGAGTGGCGAGTGCGTCGGAAATGGAGGCAGCTTCCGGGGAGACCTGGGCTGAAGCTGCTCGACCCTTGAGATGCGGAAGGAAGAGTTCTCGAAGTCCCGGGAACGTCCGAGGTACCCAGCAACCGCGAGGCCGAGGACAGCGAGGAGCGCGCATTTGCTTTGTGTCATTTCGGGGGGGGGGTTTTTGGACGGGTGTCTTGGAGAAGTGCGGCCAGGAGCATCAGGAGAGGCTTGCGTCCCACGGCCACGTTTCCCTCCCGGACTTGTCGTCGCCCTGGCAAGTGGCCGAGGCGAGATGTCGTCTTTGCCGTCATAGGAAGTTAGGCAGTCTGAGCGCTTTTGTCAATGTAGCACTTTTAACCCTGATTCTGCCAGGAACTGGGCCAGTCGGGTCGCATGGTACCTCCTAGGTACCTCCTCGTTCGGTTAGGCCACCGGCCTGCACAGCATAGCCGTGGAAGCCTTTAGTTTGCCCGGTGTCTCAAGCTGAGGGCGAGGGTCTTTTGTCTGTGTGCGTGCGTGCGTGCATGTGTGCGTACACTGCTCTCGCACATGAGCAAAGGGTGTCACGTGCCAAACCGTCCCAAACCGTGCTTGCACAACCATATCTACATGGTTTACATGTGAGTTTTGCAGGGGCCAGCATTTCCTCTCTCTCTGTCTCTATCTGTCTCTCCGTCTGTCTGTCCTGGCCAACGAAGACCAGACGCCACGAGTGAAAAGGGTGAGTCCTGTTCGAGCGCAATAGGAAAAGCCACTCCTGAGCTGGCAAGATTAAAAGCCACAGCGATGTTCAGCTATTGCACACGCCAGCATGCATGCACGGCTGCAGCAATCTGTTAGGCCGGAGTGCGAACATGTTCACAGAACCCTGAGTCATAGTCGACATAACAGTTCAGCCACTGCACGAATTGACCGAGCCAGACTCAGGTGAATGCATCCCAGCCGAGACCGGCGCAGCACCGGTTCACCGCTCCAGGACTCCCCACGATCGCTGCCTTCAATGGGAGAGAGAGGTCAAGGTGTCCAGGTTCCTGAAAGCCAGGCTGGACTGTGGCCCACAGTGGAGGGACTTCCTGAACTTTACGGAGGCATCCAGCCCCGACGGTGTCTCTCTGGAGGACTTCACAGGCTGAACCAACACTGCTGTGTTCAGTGCAGTTCTCTGGCTCTCTGGAACGGGATGAAAGTCCTTGATCGGACCCTCAGGCCCTAGAGACAGAAAAGATAGAGTGAGAAAGCTAGCTGCTGTGGCCGTGTGGAAGAAGAGAGAGAGGGAGCCGACGCATAGCGCACTTTGTTTCTGCACTGCCAGTTTTTCTTTCTGAGTACTGTTCCTTGTTGCTTCCCTTGTTCTGCCATGCCAAAGAAGGGTAGGCCAGTCCATACGAATCAAACTTTTGCTCCTAAAGAGGTCAGAGCAGAGGATTTTTTGTGTCTCGATCAGCTACGGTGCTGCTGTACCTATGTATGCCCTTCAAACTTTTTCTGTTGCCTGACATCAATACATGAGGCCACGAGCTCAGCATTGGCACTTCGAGGGGAGACGTCCCTCTAAAAACACAGGTTACACCGCCTGACTTCGGTACGATAGCTCCTGCCTTCTCGCAGCTACTGACATGCTTATCGCTGTTGCTTCTGAGCACAACCTACTGAGCGTAACCTGGATGCTGTTTGTCGAACCAAAGTGCATCGGGGAGTACCCCCGATTCGGCAGCTCTGGAACCAAGCACCCTGATAACTTGCCCTTTCCAGAACTGCATCTCGTTTGCTTGTTCAGTCGGATTCCAGTTGTATGTAGTGCACAGCACATGCTTTAGGAGCATGAGCGCTGCAGTGTATGCCGGAGGGATAGCTCGTTTCTTCCGGGCGTGCCGATTCTATGTTTGAGGTGTGCGGGGTTGGGCGAGGGCGAGGGATTCGGGTTCAGGCCACAGCCGTGCTGGGCTAGTAGGCAGGGTTACGGCTGGTTTAGGGTCTAAAGGTTGCTTTGTGCGAGATTTGTGCAGGTCTTATATTTGGCTCCTTCGGGCTCAGAGGCAGTAAGTGCACAGGGCTGAGAGAGGACATCTGCAAAAGGGTATGCAAGAAGAAAGAGTGTAAGATTTGTTAATCTTGAATCGGCTTGGCTGGGCATGGCTGCGCTTGCTTCTGTGTGCCGTTGGGCGTACTCGGCGATGGGCTTGGGGCACGGGTTGGCGCAGAGCCGTCTTCATGCGAAGATCAGTCAGAGAGTCGTGCACTGGTCGGTTGTAGACTCTGAGACGATTTTTTGACTACGTTGCATTCTGCATCCCTATGCCGACGCGCAGGAGGTTTTGACATGTCCGTGCTGTTTGGGCATCTTCCGCCAGCCCGTGGCGCTTCCTTGTGGACACAATCTGTGTCGTTGGGGGCTTCGTGTTCGGAACACTTCAATCAGGTACGGTCGGTATAGTGTGATGCCGAGATGTTCAGAAATTGCCGAGGTGGCTGCTACGTCCAGGTGTTCTCACAGCCCAGCTCTTCTCGAAGATGTCCACTGTGCCGCACGGACATCTTGCTGTGTTGCAGAGAGCCGCATTGATCAATGACACCCGAAGTGACAGGACCTGCCTCGATTCGAACTGCGCGTGAATGTGGCCCTAGCAGCGGTTTCGGATTCACTGCGTGCCTTCCAAGCCGTTCGAAGGCGCAAAGGATTTGGAGGGAATCCCAAGTGGTGACTCGCCCAGTTTGTGAGGCCGCACCCGCGACCAAATCTTGGAGACCAGGGCGCGCAGGAGCCGGAAGAGGTCTCGAAGGAATGAAGGCCAAAGGATGCCAGAGTCAGTGGTCTTAAAATGAAACCCCGATTCACTGACGTACCCGCCAGCTATCAGTCTCCTATTTCCCTGGCAATCGATTACTGTCTCTCCATCTTGTGCTGCAGACCGTCCAGAGTTCTGTTTCATATCATATCCGTTTCACAGGTCGGCAGGTAGCATGCAGCATTTCATGCTCTTCTGCCTGACAATCCACATAGATGCCGAATCTTATCGGAAAAGATTTAGAGCCAAGATTTCTGGTATTGATGCTGTTAATCTCCACCCAGCTTGGGAGCTGCTGCACGCTCTGTCTTGCTGCCCCCTTCGGCTACAGGAATTCAGGTCTCGTGTCAAGTGCACCAACCACAGCCAGCTTTCAGTTAACCAACAACAAAGTCGAAGGACGGGGCGAGTGGCACTAGTGTCACCAGGGAGGCGCACTGCCGCACCAAAACAAAGCCCTTCAAGACCTGCTACAAAGGGAAGCCGACCGGTGTGAGCGAGCTGCAAGAATGTCGCGATTTTCCTCCATCGATGGTCAGCACTCGGCGCTGCGCGACCTGGAGCGACAGCGCTTGGAGAAGCTGATGGGGCAGCTGCGCCGAGAGGTGGGGCACTCGGAAATCGAGAAGAGGCTTGGGGCCAGTGGATTGCGTTTAAGGTGGAGCCAAAGGCGGACAAGGCTGGCCGCCGCTTCCAGCCCCCGGGGCGGCGGAAGGAGCGGCCGAAGCCGGCACAGCCGGCACAGCCGGGCGATGGCCGCGATGGCCGCGATGGGTTTGCCGGCCCCGGCTCCCGTCCGGACAGTGTGGCACCCAAGGAGCCCAAGCCGCCGGCGGTGCCAAGCGCAGAGATGGCCTGGCTCTTGCGAGTTAGCGAGCGGTTCGACGAAGAGGCACGAGAGGCGCCTTGGCCGGAAGTTTTGCGACGTGACTGCCAGCGGTTGCTTGCAGAAGCCCCCACAAGCAGGTGCATGCTTTTCTGGTCCAAAACGGCCTGGATCAGTATGTCGGTCCCTCGAGTCAAGAAACAGCCATGCGTGGCCATGGCTCTTGGAATTTCCAGGCACCATTGCTGGCTAATGGGCCCGGCACGCCTGGAGCTTCCCTCGAGGCGGACTCGAGAGAGCGCACATGTCTCCCCGGAGTGTCGCAGCGTCGCAGGCGCTGCGTTCCGCCTCCGAGGAGCTCCTGGAAGAGGCGCCGCGCGCCAGCGGGCGCAGCGCAGGAAAAGAGAGAAGGAAGGGAGGAGGGGAGAGCCGCAAGCCGGGAGAGCGCGTTTAAACGGAAGGCAGGCTTAGCGGCCTCGCCGAGGCGGCATCTCCTGCAGGCCCTAAAGGCGACGCCCACAAGGTTTTATCGATGCGGGGATCCATCAGAGCAAGTCCCGGCTGCAGGGCTCTGCGGTTCAAGAAGACGCACCAGAGCCAGGCAGTGGCAGCTTCGTGTCGTGGTATCGATAACAAGCCCAGTTGCCTTCTTAAGGCCATTGAGTTCCATCTGGGACATGGTGCAGGTGCAAGCTTCTCGGTCTCACCCACTGATTGCCAGCATTGGGGTCGTCTTGGGCCACCAGCTTACTTCGCGTCCTCAAAATCTCGTCCCGCGGCAGCTGCAACGACGGGTGCTGAGGCACTTGCCTGCGGGTTGGCATCGATGTTCGCGAGGACCCAACCTGAGAAATGGGGAAGGCCAACGTAAGGCTCAATCTACATAGATTCAGGAGAACAGCGTGCGCATATCTCCACGCGTTGGGGTCTCGAGCAGAGAGAACGGCAATCGAAAGATTAAGCTCGTGTCATCGTGTTCTGATGTGGACTTAGTTCCAGAGCCAGTTGCTCATGCTGATGCAGCTGTGGGCGATGACAGTCCGCTTCCTATGGTGGATGAGGATCTGAAGGCAGGAGGAAACGCGACGGGGAGAGCTGAGGCTGTCAGTTGCAAGTCACGATGCCACGATGCCAGCTTCTCATGCTGGAGGTGGGAAGCTCCCAGGTTGCCGCGCCTCCCCTGTCCGCTCGCACCCCGATTTGTGCCGAAGTTTTTGATATAACGCGGGGTCAAATCCTCGGCATACTCAGGAGCGCCGGCCCCCTTCCAGCAGGGCCTCGAAACCTGTAGAGTCTGCAGAGGCAGCCGAATGCATCAGTGGTTGAAGCGTTCCCAATGAGTCCTGTCACAGGCTGAGCCTGCACGGCCCGACCATGCACTAGAACACCGAAGCTCGACCTCAAGTGCACAGAAGGCCGAAGCCGCAACATGTTGCAGCCTGACTTCGACATCACGGAACTGGGGCTCGTCTGAGCTGAAAGACTCTGTTCAGGGCTGCTGCTACCAGTGCTTCCGGCAAGTGTACGTGGCGAGCGCGTTTCACCTCGAGCCTGAAGAGGTTGGGGATGTCGTGACGTGAGGAGATCGGACACACAGCACATGGAGACAGGAGCAGCAGGCCTCCCAGGCCTCTCGGCCAGGCACCCCGTCGTCCCTGGGCAGGCACCCAGCAACGCAATCTCCGCTCTCGTGGGCTGTGAGTTCGATGTGAGGATCTTCTGCAGCTCCGACTGCATGGAGCGCTTCAGACAGGCCTCCGGTCTCGGTCACCTCGGTCACCTCGGTCACCTCGCTGCTCAAGTTCTGAGAGGTGCTCGCGAGCAGAAGTGCTCGTGCGGTTGAGCCGCTGGCCCGAGTTTGACGCGCAGGGTTAGGCCGGCTTGGCGAATGTCGAAGTTGCTGAAGCTTCTTCCTAAGGCTCTGCAAGCTCCGGCAAGTGGTTGAATCAAGTGCAGCGCTGGAAGCCGCCGCCCAGCATGATGCCAGAGCCTTCTGCTGTCGTCCTGTGCGAGCATGTGCCAGCTTGTGTGAGCATGCAGTCCTTTTTCGGCCTTCACAGCATGTTAACGTGCGCCCTAAGGATCGGACCTCAGTCGATGCATGAATTGCTGTTTGAAAAGGCTTATCTCGCCGCAGATTCAAGCATATTCTTCAGGAAGGATACAGTGTCCAGTCACAGCCTTGCTGCTTCAGGCTCTTCACTTTACGTTTTTCTTCAGCTTCGTATTGTCCATGGTCTGGCCTTATGTTCTTACTTTCTCGTTCTGGCATCAAGTGTGGCTTTTCCTGTGCAGCCAAGTTTGACCTGAGCGCTTGTGACTTGCATCTTGGGACCCCGAAACATCAGCGCTGTCAACCCTCAACCCCACATACCAACTGTATTGAACCGAGAAGATCTTGCACGCTCCGAGACACGCGAAGAAGAGATGTTTTTGACAGTCCGTTAGGGTTTGTACATACCTTGCAACGGCCAGATCGAGAGTAGCATCAAAACTGAGGTGTTTTGGTAAGACCTCAAGATAGCAAGTCAAGTTGCCAGGGCCGTGATAGCTTGCTGTCTTTTCAGGCCCCTCTGCCCCATGACCTCTATGCGATCCGCCCTGCCGGCTATCGAGTCGCGAAGCCGTTTTTAGTGCCGCCTCGCCGGCCATGGCAGAGTCTTGCTTGCACAGCGGAAGCGGCTGGACGTGTGTGATGTTTTTTTGCCTGCGGTAGAATGTCATTCAGCATGGGCGGAAGCGTAGAAGTGGCAGCTGCATCTTTGTGGCACCAACCACGAAACTTAGGGCGATGATGCGGCGGAGAACAGGACTCTGCATCTGGACGTACTCTTGCACGGTAAACGCAGGTTTAGATTCGCGATCGATTGGCGAGCCTGGACGTAACTATCTGCATTGTGTTCCCCCGGAGGAAGAAGCATTTGCTCAACTTGATTTGCGAAGTAAAAGCGAGGCTCGACGGAAAGGCCGCATGAGGGCGATGTCGCGGAGTGCGCCGAAGCACTATGAATCAACCGCTTGGCAGGTAGACAGCCTCAGCTTTCCCATTCCACAGTTTATTGTCATTGGGAAGCAGAGCGTTGGCAAGTCGCGCCTCATCGAGGCGCGAGGCGGGGAGGCACAGTCGTAGCCCAACACCGTGCAATGAACTCCGTGCCCCTTGCATCTTTGAACTCTTGAACGGCATCTGCATCCCTTCCATGCAATGATGGACACATCGTTCCCGGCTCCGGCAAGCCCAAGCCTGATTTCGAGCTTCCGTCAACAACATCGCTAATCGCTTTGCAAGAGCCCTTCTTTAAACGTAGCTTTCGTGGAAGTTCCTCGAACGCAGTAGGACCTTGTATCGTGGGCCGGGCCCTTGCAGGCCCTTGCTGGAGAGACCTTCAACTTCGTCTCAGGCTCTTTAGGATCCAGGCAGGTCACGGCGTTTTTTTGTGAATATCGCTTTGCGGACCATCGGGCAGGAGACCGACGGTGCTGGAGTTCCGGAATGTTCCGGGTTTGATGCCTTCCAGGCTTGGGGTCAGGCACAGCCTTGAACGAGTGACTCGTGCTTGCGGTTTTCAGGTGGTCTGTCTTCGACGAGAATCTCAAGAAGTGGTCAACATATCCGGTGCAAGAGGTGATGATCATCGTCGGCAATGCTCACGAGGCCAGTGATAGGCGTCGGCAGAGCCAGGAGCCGCGAGGGCGAGCCGAAGTTCGATTCGCCTCGCTCGGGAGGCTTGTGGACAGAACGTCAGCGAAATGCCCATACGTGTCAAGGTGGAGGGCACCTGCCTCAATCGGTGACTTTCTGTAACTCGACGTGTGTGCAAGTCTGCTGCTCCGAGGTCAAGACTGTACAGACCTGGGACTTGTGGACCTGCCTGGATTCAGGCGCGCGCTCCCATTCGAGTTGACTGCCATTGCCCATTGCTGCCCTCCATGTGCTCTGGAGCAGCTTTGAATATCTTTGAATGCTTCCGACAATTTGCAAGTTTTGTTCCGCCCCCTTTCATTCCTGCTTCGTGCTCTGTGAGTCTGTGGAAGCAAGTCTTCATTCAGTCCAACGTGCGCATACGTGCACTTGAGAAGTCGAATGTGTAGCAAAATTAAGAAGGTCGAGACTTGGGTCCACAGAAGTAGCAAACTTCCCAAGAAGGCATTCACAGACTGCACGGGGCTCTAGCGGCAAGGTCTTCGCAGTATAGTCGGTTTCATCGTCGCAGGGCACAGCGGCAGCAGTTTTGCAGAAGCTGTAGTCCACCCTGCTCAATACATGGCCTTTCCAACATCAATCTTTTAGGGTTTAGTGTTGCCCAAGAGTCTTACATCCCACTGGGAAGCCACCGCTGCTTCTGAACCATGTTTCCAGAACCCAGCGGCGTCGGCCAAATTGGGCTACACATAGCGTGAACGCTTGGACATAGAGGCTTCGCAGAACCTGCGCCGAACGGCAGCAATGATTGCAGCAATAGCGGTGAGGTCGACGGCTTCAAGCAACAGTGGTAATCCTAGCTGCCATAGAAACACTGGAAAAGAGTAGTATGGAAAGGAGCAGTCGCCGGAAACATCGCAAACATTCACCTTCGAGCTCGGACAGTCCTGCAGGTCCTATGCCAAGGACGATGCCATGCAGCAGCTGGCCAAAAAGATTGACACCATGGTGTTCAAGTTCATGTCGATACCCCAGCTCCGATGATCAGAACAAAGACATCACCCATTCTCGATCCCATTCTGGTCAGGAACGATGAGAACAACATCATGCTTTGTGTGGAGGAGGCTGGGGACGCCGCAGGCCGCCCTGAGTTCAGACGGCATGCACTGTGTGGCGCAACTTTGAAGAGTACGTGTTCTTTTCCTCTGGTAGGCTTTGCCACGCTTGGGAAAGCCAAGCAAGTGGACCCAACGTACAAGCGGACAATCCTCATAAGGAACAAGCTCGACAAGTGAGACCGCCTGACGTGACACATGACAACCACGCCAAGGATGCGAATGATGTGGCTGCAGGTACTATGGTGATCTGACACCGGAGAACATCAACAAATGGCGCCAAGCACAGCAGTTTGAAAAGGACGTCGCGGTTGACTCGCAGGATTTTGATGATTGAGGTTGGAGGGCTATGGTGACCTTCCTCAGCACTTGGCACGCTTTGCCGTGTCCTTGCCAAGAGCTCAGCGATGGATATGTGCTTTCTGCCGCATAATGGTTGCAACGTGATGCAACTTGATGTTCGCCACTCTGTTTCGAACTGCTAGCCCCCTTGTGTCCCATTTCCGTAGGCCACACTGGACTGATACGATGCCCAAAGCGTTCGGCGAGATGCGCAAAGAATTTTGCCTTGATTCATCCAGGGTTCGGGGGTGTAGGGTTAAGTTTCTCGGAGCAGCCTTGACGGAGGAATGCGCTGACCGAGACATGGAAACGCTGGCGGCGAAGGGTGCATCTGCAAAGTAAGGCACTGAGTTTGTCTTCATCATCTAAGCACGGACAGGTTGCACAATGCGCACAGACACAAGGTACAAGATGACAATTGGATTTCAAAACTTCAGAAACTTCATGGAGGCTGGGATTCGGCCTCACTGTTTTGAGAAGCGCGCAAGGTGATTGCCACTTGCGATGCCCTTTGACAGATCAAGATCCAACAACTCTTTGCGGACGCACTGGCACCAATGCTGACCAGACTCAAAACTATGCAGGAGGACTGATCGCCGGTGAGATCTGGATGGTATGTACAGATCTCTGATGTGCAGGAGCACGAGAAGAAGCTGGATGTGATCCGGCAGGAAACAGAGACGATCAATGAGGACTTCCGCACTTCCGTGGCTGAGATCTGTGCTTGCTGAAATGGTGGGATGCAGTCGAAGGAACAGTTAGAGGAAACTTCACTTGTCTTCCTGACTTTCTTCGGCTCCGCAAACCATGTATCTCTCTGGTCAGGACAACATCCTTCACGCAACACGGTCAGCTGGAATCACGTTTGCTCAAAGCTTCATCTTCCTTATGGAGGCATAGGCATCTGCTTCTTTCGAAGCACTGTATTCGATCTGAAGCTGGCTGCCGCGCCAGGGCGCGCTGTCTTCCGAGCACAATCGAAAGACCCTGGAAGAAGAGCTACGGTCGTTTCATGAGTGCCCTCTGTCGTAGTCCTGTAGAGCCGCGTATCAAATTGGTCTTTGTTTTGCATCAAAATGGTCTGTTTTGATGTCTCGGCTCACACAGTGCATAGTCTCGGCCATGTCACGGTCACTGTGAGGCGGCTACGAAAGAGGACATAATTTCAGGCTCCCAAACCCTAAATCCTAAAGCTTAAACCGAAGTCTCGGCCGTGTCCCGGCCGAGTCTCGGCTAACCCTACAGCTTGAACCCCTAATCCCCAAACCCCAAAAAGCCCTAAACCCTAAACCGTAGACCGTAGACCGTTAACCCTAAACCCTAAACCCTGACGAGTGATATGTCCCGTGCCAGGAGTCTAGTCCACCCTGCGAACACTCCTGGTCCACACGTGACTGGTATTGAAGTCATGCAGGGCTTCTTAGTGTAAGCTCAATCTGAGCAGCGCTTGCTGGAGTCAAAAGTGTGGTGCATTACACTTTAAAAGAAAGACCTAGACCCTAAACCCTGAACCCTAAACCCTACCTAAACCCTGAACCCTGAACCCTGAAACCTCTAAACCCTAAACCCTAGACTCTAAACCCTAGAGAGGGTTTAGGTTTGGGGATCAGGGTTTAGGCTGTAGGGTTAGTCATAGTCGACACTCGGCCGGGACCCGAGGATTTAGGGTTTAGGGTTTGGGAGCCTGAAATTATGTCCTCTTTCGTAGCCGCCTCACAGTGACCGTGACATGGCCGAGACTATGCACTGTGTGAGCCGAGACATCAAAACAGACCATTTTGATGCAAAAACACGACCAATTTGATACGCGACTCGTTCTGTAGATCAGCATGCCTGCGATCCTGCGCGCGCCTGTTGCGTTTGCATAGCCTTTTGGAGCCTCTGGTTGATATCCATCGTTTCATTGCGCGGCGGCAGGTACTGTTCACGGACGAAGACTTTAGACGAACAGGAACTGCTTCCAGCATTCTTTGAGGACAGGCCTGTTCCCCGCCCGTGCGGCCCCTGCACTTCCGTTTGACATGTGCCGTTTAATCACGAGGATCTGGATTCCTACGTTGCCTACCTTCGTGATACGGTGAAGCTGCCTGCCATGGATGTGTCGCTCAACGGCGGAGCTCAGTTCCGAAGGCCCGTCCCAGAGTAAGCACCGTGTCGCGACGGTTTACTCTTTTGAATGTAGCTGATGGTACTGTGAGGGGTTTCTACTGTTCCTTTCGCTGAACTTTTTGCCAAGATACTGCCATGAATCCGCGAACTCCCAGCAGTTCAGTTGGCCAATGCTACTGTGAGGGGTTTCTGGTGGTCCTTTGGTTCCACAGTATAGCGGCACGAATCTGGGAACTCGCGGCAGTTTAGCTCGGTCCCAGGTCCTCCTTTCCGTGTTTGTGTTTTCCAGTGATTTGTGCTGCTACTTCTAGTCTTTGCTCGAAAGCGCTTGGCCTAGTTGACTGCACGCCTCGCCTGCTGCAGGGTGATGTACGAGGTCGAGGTGTTCACCCGCTTCGCGGGGCTCGGCAAGAAGCTGGAGCCCGTGGATGTCATTCAGGTGCGTACAAAAGGCTGCAGGCTTCTGATTCTCGTTTCTTTTTAACTTTTCCGAGGCGCGAGGCTCTGGCTTGAAGGAGTGCACCTGGCAGGACAGGCTCTTGTCATTGTCAGTCTTGTGAGCTTCCCATCGCCGTCTTGGAATGCGTGATCAAAGCGGGCGCAATGCAGGATACGATTACGCAGCTGATGATGCAGCATCCAGCCTGTGGTTTTCCTTACTTTTGGGTTGATGTCAAGTCCTTGCAAGAGAGATGCAGACACAGTTGCATGTATAGCAAAGGAATGCGCCCACCAGAATGCGCACAAAGACAAAGTATGTCGGGGAGAGATTGAAGTTCTTCTTCGGAGAGCAGAAGGAGGCATGGTGCATCGCAAGGATCTGTCGCTTCGGCACTTGCAATGCGTGAGCAGGCCACGGTGCAGTTCATGCTCGGGCTCACAGGTTCCCCGGAGGAGCATATGTTTTCGCGCTTGATTCCCAAGCAGGCCTCCCTTGTGAGCTTCGGTCAGGAAAGCTCTTCCTTCTCTCTCTCTCTCTCTCTCTCTCTCTCTCTCTCGCAAGCTTTGCAACCAATTGCAGGCACAGGTGATCCAGAGAAATGACACGATGAAACGATGCATATTTGATGCTTTCGATGCTGCATGTGACAAGCATCGAATTCGATTTATGCAGTGCCGCAGATGCATTACACTGGCACGCACAGGGACAGAGGGCTTTCGTGTTCAAGTCGTATTGGCTAGCAAAGTGAATTCTCAGGATGTGGTGCGACTTTATGGACAGCATGTTCCAGTCGCCCCTCATGCTGTTGAAGTCCGGCTCAATGCCATCAATTGGCTCGGGTTACGAGGAGGAGATTGCACCAACTTTTGAATCAACGAAGGCCTGCGTTTTCTAGCACGGCCTGTCTTCCGAATCCCATTCGGCCGCGGGGGCTTTATCCCTGAGGCGCGCATCCATCAGGAGCGAAGAGGGAGAGGTACTCTGCAGACGGCACTCAGGCAGATGTGAATTCCTAGCAGGCACCTTCTACGCCCCAGGCATTTGATCTGATCATTGTGCCTTTCAGGGAAAAAGTGAAGCAAATCCCGGACGAAGATGTAATGGCGAAAGAGTCGGTCAAAATGGTCCAAAGGCAGGAAACTGCGGTTGTCGCAATTCCTTATCATGGTCTTTTATATCTGACATCGCGCCTGTTCAGGATTATTGAACAGACCTTTGCCGTCATTCGCAGCGTGTGCTCCTGAGTCAATCGAGGCATGTCTTGTCGGGATTCGGCCCAAGACGAAAGTAGCTGATGGTCCGTTTGGGATCGTCTGCATCCGGCTCAGCTCGCAATTGGTCTGCGAAGCTAGTTGCAGGCATTCGATCGTTGGGCTTCAATGTTTGTCCGCATGAGGATTCATTGAAAGTTGTGTTTGTCGCAGCAGATTGCCTCAGGTCGTTGCAGACCACATGCAGCTGTACTCGGAGACTTGGTCTTATGTCCTGGAGTTGGCATTGTCCTCCTGTCGTGATTGGCAAGAAAGCGCCAGTTTCTTACCACCTGAGTTGCCACTCTGTTGGCAGGCTCTGCTGTCAGTGGCACTTAAAGTGAGACAAAACGCCCTGCCTCTAGTCATTCGACGGGCTGGTACTGCAACATGCATTCCGTGGGGTTCTTCGAGGAGTCCTTCTTCCTTCTCCCCATGCTGCGACGCCTTGAAGGGGTCATGGCTGACATGGAGCTGCAGGACACAAAGGACGGGGCACGAAGAAGTGGCGACGAACGTGGGGAACTTGTCAGGAGGAGGACAAAGAGAAGTACAGAGCTCGAAAGTCCGTCCTGGAAAAAGAGAAAGCGGCGTCCGAAGGCAGCATGCCGCGACATCCATGGAATGCTCCAGCAATGGGCCTCACTTGTGTCCTTGGCAGGTATGCTCGCGGACCTTACCTACTGCATCGAAGCAGTTAAGAGATTCAAGGCCGAGTTTCTCTGCTCAGTTGACTCAGTAGCTGGACGCTGCACCGGCCACCAATTGCGGCAGCTTTGCGAATGCGTGCAGGTCACCTACGGTGGGGGGCACTAGCTGCCGGGAGGGCCACTTGTTTTCCATTTCAGCAATGTGAGGCCTCGGCCAGTTTGAAGTGCACCCGCCTCGCAAACTGGTTCTCCAACTTCACAAATGGTGACAGGAAAAACACACACATTGACACACACACACACACACACTTTTACTACCAATGTTTCGAATTGAATAATCACTAGTAGAGCCGCCAAACCAAGTGAAAGCAGACGGCAACATGTATATTGAAAGAGCAGTGTTGCAACACAAAGCCTGAACAAGACTCTCCGTGAGTACAGTAGGAGCAGGTGTGGCGCAGCTACAGCGCGTCAGCTCTGCCTGGCCGGTCAATGCGGCTTCGATTTAGAAAGGCAGACTTCAAAGAAGCTGTAGCCGAAATAAGTCTGCAGATGGAAACGGCCCGCGGAGACTTCCTGAGTGTTGAGCTGGTGTCCAGACTGCTGCGACTTTTGCGGGCCGGTCACGGGCTCTGCAGACTGGAGGGGTGAAAGTCCCTGGTGCATGTCCTGGCCTGTAGACCTTCCCTGGCAGTGCAACCCGACATCGCTTACAGTAGCTTGCTGCACGAGGGTCTGGAAGATGTCGTTTGCTTCAGCGCCTTCAGAGCATGACGCAGACGGCCAGCTATGGTCCTGGCCGCGCTTGCCCTCTCAGCAGCTGTGTTGGTGGTGACAGCATGTGCTGATAAGCTGCCTGGTTTCAAAAGGTCGTCAGGCACAAGCGGCGATAAGTCTGTAGCTGCCATCGGGTGTTGCAGTGATCGTTGCACTCTTGCCTTTTTCTGGACGCATCAAAGGCTGCAAGTCTTTGGTCATGCGCTCAACACAGGGCAAACCATTCCACCTCGGTGTGTGCAGGCCTGGGCAAAGCACGCGGGGTTGACACCGCACACACGTCTCATCGCAAGACAGAGTTTGCTCTGTTGATGGTGGTCGGGACACAGCCTGCCATCCAGCGAGATTTCTCTCTACTTAAATCTAGACCTATAGGAACCTAACCTCAGGGCTTTGACGCTTAGTGACTAATTCAGATCTTTGCAAGGCATCCAGCAACCTGACTGCGAAGGCTGATGAGACGAGCCATCTTCTCTGGGTGGACTGGGCTTTGAAGCCGCCAGGCAAAGTGCTGCATGAAGATCATGAACGAATTAGATAAGCTGCTCGTTTCTTTGCACGACCAATGCTTCTGGCCACAGGACCGGCGGCACATGTAGTTGAAGTGAAAGTTGCCTGGCACACGGCGCTGCCCAGTGATCCCGAGGCTGGATTGTCTTCTGTTATCTTGCGGCAACCGCTTCTTGTGGGAGTTGAAGCGAGGATCAGGCTATCTTTATCGCACAGCTTGGCAGAAACGGTAGCAGCTTCTCCATCAAGGTGGGCTCGCTTGGAATGTCAGTAGACGGGAAATCTTGGGCCACAAGCATCCCCAAGCGTTGGCTATGCAGGACCTTCGTCGTGTGCAGCTCTTCGAGGCTGATTCCATGTCTGAGGATCCGCAAACTTGTGAGCTTGTTTTCAGAAGTCTGTCCCATGCCACATGCCACTGCGCCAAGAGCAGGAGGGACCACCAGCTGCTCGAGTGCTTAGGGGTGAGCTGAGCCTTGCCTGGATACCCGGTCTAAAATCTGATGCGTGTTCGTTTGCTTGTGGTGACGTTCAACAGCCTCTGGCATGAGGTCCTTGATGTCGATGGCGGGGACGTGCTTGGGCTGTTGGATTCCTGCGAAGGCCTGGGCCTTGCGTGCAAGAAGCAGAATGCACGGGCAGAGCAGGCGACAGAGCGCGTCAGGCACCAGCCCTCTTTCGGCACCGTGGGCACATGCAGGCTGTGACTGGTCCGTTGGAGGTTGCAGGTCATTGGGGACCGTCATTGACGCTAGTAGTGCGCGATCTCGAACAAAGTTCGCGCATCTTTTGCTTAGTTGATCGGACTCGCAGCGCTGCATCTGAAGGCGAAGAAGAGATGCAGCACTGGGCCTTGGCTTTCACCTTGGCCGCATCCTTGGCCGCAGACTTTTTGGCAAATGCACACGTGTGCGAATGGAAGCTGGCAGAGTTTCTCTGCGGGCAGGGCAGCGACCTCCAAACTGAGGCCTGCATGACCACCGAACAGAAACCCGAGCAAGGAATTCATGCCAGCCCGGTTCGCAGGTCGCGTTAAGCTCGGCAGCTCCGGCAATGCCTCCTGCATGGGATGCTTCCTCAGCGTCAGCTTTATGCGCTCTGCAACGACTTCGGATGGCTGGTGCTCAGAGGCATTCAGATTTCGCAGTCTTGATCCAGAAGGCACGACGTGTACGGTTTTCATCTGGTTCGAGGGTCCCATCCGAATGTCAGTCTCGGGGGAGGTGCTGACCAGGGCCGGTCAGGCTTGCCTTGCATGCAGTGAATGCAGCGACAACGCCTGAGCCGTTGGCTAAGCAGCTTGCACCTATCTGGTCAGGTTCGGCGCTGCAGCTGCTAGCGCGGGTTCTGGAAGAGGCGCCATGCCGTCTGGTCAGTGACAACGGCGAGGGGAGGGCCTCCCAGACTGCATTCCTTCAGGCAAAGTGCTCCAACGAAGACAGCCTTCTGAAGAATCTTCGGAGTTTATCGGGATGTTCCTGGGTGCTGCGACCTCGGAGATGCTTGCCTTGCTGACAAACGCTGTGCGTGATGACGTGTTTTTTGAATGCATGAGCCTTCTCAATGCAACGAGCAAGCCAGCATCCGATATGCAAAATCGGCGGTCAGAGTCACAGCGTCAACAGTTCCTACACATTGGCATGGGCATTGCCAGTCCCCGGTGCCATCAATATCGTGACAGAAGAAGCAGTCGATGTGTCTGATGCACCCTGCGGCTTAAGTATTTCTCCTTCCATGGCACATGCGTGCTTTGACTGCTGCTGCTCTCCGGCGAGAGCTCTTGATGCTGGTGACCTGCCTGGTCGTACTGTCCCCCAGGCATGGAGCCTTGTTTGCAATTTAGACACCACGTGATGCAAGGAGTAATTGAAGCTTGCAGAGGTGGCGCAGTGTTTGGACGGCGAGTCCACTCATCTCCGGTCACGGGAACAATTGCAGAAACTCGTCTATGCCTTTGCGCCTCGGCGGCTTTTTGAACGTCTTGCGCAAGGGATGCATTTTGGGATGATTCAAGCTCGGCTTAGCAGAGATTCCGGGCAAACAATTATTCAAAAAAGTCTGCATCTGCTGAGTACTTGAGCGTCAGGTTGGCAGAGCTTCAGCCGCAGGTGGCTTGGCGTCAGTAGGGGCATGTTTGCTTGTGGAGATGCCTGTTGAGCCATTCTTCACACCTTCGCTATTCTTGACTGGGACTTGCCTCTCTCTCTACCTCCTTCTCAGGTCAAGATTGCCGAGTGTCGAGGGTACGACCGCCTGGGCGCGGCCAAGCGGCTCAGTACCAGCTGAAAGATCGAGCTCGTGTTCTCGTGACTTGCCTGCCAGCTGTCCGAGGACACTGGAGCATTCATGCAGTGCATGTTCTATCATGAAAGCCCAGGAACTGAAGGGCTCCACTGATGGGAGTGACCAGTGGCAGCAGCTTCGTGCCTGGAGCATCGGCAGCTTGCATCTTCAGAAAGCAGAAACCTCAACATTGTCAACCGAACTGGCTTCCGATGCGGTCAAATCAGCAATTCTGGTTTCGGCGCAGACGGAAACTTGGTTGCTCATCCTAAGTGGCAGTGAGGAGCGTGACAGTTTCTTTAGCGCGATGCAGATTTTGCAGCTCTACCAGACGCTGGCAGAGCAATGCCCAGTATCCACCCCAAAGAAGGGTGAAACTGCCACTCTGACGGAACGTGAGGGTGAGGGTGACCGCGCTCTTCTGCGGCAGGGCTCTCAGTTGTTCGAACATGTGCGTGCACTGTCAATCGGATGTCGGAGTGAAGGGCCTTCGCGGGCCTTCGCTGACCAAGGCCACCCGGACGAAGTCCAATCAGCCCGCCGGTGTCGCCCTTTGCATGCAAAGCACCTGCACCACCCCCGACTCCGCAAAAACTCGACGCTCTGTAGCCACATGATGCCATCCGAGCCGCGCGGCAGCTCCTTCTACGCTCTCGACGAGTGCGAAGCACTGTCTTTGAGAAGCGAAGGCTGCCTTCCGAGCGCAAAAGAGCGGGGATGAGGCAACTCGTGATGAGAGTTGTGAGGTTGCATGGTTGCAGGACTGTGCACGATGTCATCGGAAGGACCATTTGCCAACAACAGTCATCTTTGAGGGTCTGCCTATGTCTGCCTACTGAAGGCATGAGTATCCCATCTACGTCCTCCACACCGGGTCTTGCGCTTGATAGTCGTGACAGGGTTGACCGAGCTGCTTGCAAAGCCCATTGCATATTGTTGGAGCGCAGCACGCCAAGGCACATGGAGGGTGCGACGGAGCAGCAACTGCTGATGTGGATGGATGTTGTTCGAACAGCTGCCTCCCCTGGTCCACCACTCGGCAGAAGGCTGTTTACTGTTGTCTGCAGCACGAGTGAACGCACAAACGAAGTGTTGCTCACGCTTGTGCAACCGCTTTTCGTCTCTCTTGGGAGCCAGAAAGCTGAATGTCGACCTTCTAGGCTTGGACCTTCGCTTCATGGACGTGTCAGACGACTTTCAAACAGTGAAGCTTGGAGATGGGCAGGTGGATGCAGAAAGATTCAGATGAAGCGTCCCAGATGTGCATGCGTGGCGTAGTCTGCAGGTCCGTTTAGACCGACTTGATCTGCCCTCCGCCAAGATGAGACCAGAGTTGAACTGGCACTGTCTTCGGCGGTTCCACTTTGCATGAGGATGTGGATGGATGCGACGCGTTCAGATTCGCCTCGTATACGGAAGGAAAAACCGCGGCGGCATGAGGCCCATCAGTCAGTGCAGGCGTCGCTGAAATTTGCAGATACCTGATTTGTCCACAGGTAGGGTACCGACACATGTGTCGGTTTCAGAGCTCTAATGTCCTGGAACTGCCGGCTTTTCAACGAATGCTCGGCACTCAGAAGCCCGCTGATGCAGGCTTGAGAAGCTCAGCACTTGGGCAGCTCATGTCCAGCTCCGGGGTGACTCCCTGACTTCCTTCGTAGCCTTTTTGTCACCAATCTGTTGCCTCTTGCACGGTCATTGCTTTTCGGCTGAGGCGCTACCTATTGCACTTGGACTCGGATGCAACTTTTCAGTGTGAAGGATCCAAAAGTCCAGGGAGCATGAGCGAGGTTTGATAGACTTGCCAAGCCTCCACTGGAGTGTAGGAATGCCGTATGACAGGATCCAGCAGCGTGGACCCCTTCAAGGACTTCTGCATGCATAAATGTGCCGACCAAGTTCTGCGTCCCAGCTGTTGCGCCATCGTAGGTAGGTCTCACAGAATTCAGGCTCTCCAACTGGAGGGTTGTAGACTGTAGATAGATACTTGTTCTGGCGGAGACGGAGGAGATGATCAAATCCAGATCCGTTTATGGGTCGTGCTCTTAGAAGGGATGTGCGGAGGAGGCAAGAAGGTCAACAGCCCATTCTGTTGCTCGTCAGGCTCTTTGAGGTTGGACTGGAGGATCCTGCACACACGCAGGGGCACGCGCCACAGCAAAATGGCCACAATTCTGTGCAGATGTAGTGTGTGCGAGCTTGCAGGCTTTGGAAATCCCAAGCCCATGCATTCAGCCCTGCAGTTCCCCTCGTATACCATACAAAAGTCGAGCAGACTGTGCTATCCGGTGTTCAATGCGTGAGCATCCGGCAGTCACCATGTTGTTGTGAGAGCTGGCAGACATGTTTCTGCTTAGTTCTCTGACGTGAGCACCGAGGTGGTCGAGCTTTGTCAAGGAGCGACTGGCTCAGGGTGCAGGTGCATTGGCTTTCGAACCTTGCTAAGCTTTGGCTTCGGGTGTGTGTCGCTCAGGTGGGTTCTCCTCAACGACTTGCAGCTGGGGACCCTGCTTCTCACCGGATACCTTGGTATGAAATAGGCAGCCTGTCAGGCTTCCGAACCCACCAGCTTCGCTGTCAACAGATGGAATCAACGTCACTCTTCCCGCCAGAGCGCCAGAGAGCGCCAGAGAGCGCCAGAGAGCGCCAGAGCTTCACAGGACGTCACAGGCTTTGCTCCAGCGCTCTGGCGGAGCCGAGGTCCGAGTCGACGGCCTCGAGCAGCTGCAAGAAGTACCTCTCGCCTCGCTCTCGCTTACTTGGGGCACCGCCTGGGAGGCCTCGAGATGCCTGGGCTTGGCCGAAGAGTCTGCGCTTCCTTCGCTTCTGCTGAAAGCTCGAAGGTGCTCGACCTCGATTTCTTCCATCGACCAGATGTGCTAGAGTTCAGCCGTCGTGTCGGCAGACTTGTTTGAGGGTGGTAATACTCACATCGGTCGAAGTCTGGCCTGCCGGGATTCCTCTGCAGAGGAACGTGGCATGATTCATCCGAAAGCAAACCGAAACAGCAGCAACATGTCGCTTAACTTTAACTGCTAGCACAAGAGCCGCCTTGGAACCGTCTGTGCGTGCCGGCAGCCAGCAGCATTGGGGAGGAAAAAGAACCCAGCAAAGCGAAGACGGGTTCGGGGCGGTGGAGTGGAGGCGGGCATGGGAAAGATTGGGGAAAAGGAGGGCAGAGAAGCAGGGTAGGCAGGCATTTCAGAAGGGACAGGAACGAAGCGACATGGTTCCATGGAAGCCGATCTGAACGCCCCGGCCTCCGGCCTCCGGCCTCGGCGGAGAAGCGCAGTCAGACACACTCGCAGAATCATCAGGACAGAGCAGACTGCAACATTCTTTTTGCTCTTGATACCTGGACTTGTCAGACCATCAGGTCCCGGATTCTCAGCACATCCTAGAAACCAGTGCACCGCCTCTGCAGTGCGTCTCTCCACTTCCCGGCATGCTTTGCTGCTGTCCCGAGCTGTCTTCCAACAGTATTGACGACTTAAATCAGAAGTCGCGCTGATGTTCCACTCGGGGGCCACTTCTCGGTGCTTTTTTGGACCATGTTTCGCTTTGGGGGCAGTGGCAGGTCGAGGCCACGCTTGGGCACTACAGGCCGAAACGTGGGAACGGCGGTTGCAGTTGAAACTTTGACCAGCGAGAAGCCTGCCTGTGCAGCCTGGAAAAGGCATCTCTGGGGTGACCATCTCATTCGCGCCTATCAGGCCAGGTCCCAGCAGAACCTGCACGTTCCCACAATGTGAAAGCAGGTGCTTGAGGAACGGAGTTGGTGCCGTCCTTCGCGGTAGCAGTGTAGCAGCAAGCTACATTGTTGGATTCGTTCTGGAGACGCTTCAAGAGAGTGAGTGTGGCCTACAGCCTAGAGTTTTTCGCTGTAGCCATTGCGCAATGCAGGAGAGCAGAGTTTCTTCTCTCGTCGTGTCCGGGATCCCTCCCTCCTTCCCTCGTGCTCACTCTCGCTCGCTCGCGCGCTCCGCAATGTATCCGGCAGGTGCTTCTCCATGCGCCGCTCGAGCAAGTACGCTGCTTTGATGCCAAGGAGCTACCTGGCAGGTGGCTCTCTCGTGTTCATATCGCCCGTTTTTGCACTCTCGTGACTACCTGCAGTCATGGCTGTTCTTCGGATGGGATGTTCGATGCAGAGGAGGCACCGCTATTTCCCTCTGTGGACGAGTTCAGATCATGACACAGAGGATAGATAGATAGATAGATAGAGAGAGAGAGAGAGATATATATATATATATATACACAATCGTCCGGAGAGCAGACGGAAGACTGTTGCTGCAGGTCAAGAGGGGCGAGGACAAGGGCTGGGAGAATATCTACCAGGTGGAAGAAGATATTTCATGCCGTGGACTCAGTGGACCGCATTGTCACCGTGAACGGCTCTGCCATGCTCAGAGCAGGCCCAGACCTTTGGCTGGAGAACGGATTGAGAGGCCCGTATAGTATAAGAGTTTCAGTATAACATAGTATGATATAGTATGGTATAGTCTACTACAGTATAATATAGTATAATCTAGTTTTGTATTATGTAGTGTAATATAGTATAACGTAGTAGAATATAGTATAACAATGCTATAACATAGTACACCGTAGTATCATATAGAATGAAATAGTGAAAAATGTTATAATACAGTATAATATAGTTTAATGTAATATAACATAGTACAGTATAGTATAACTCTCCACTCGCGACAGTTGAAAGGACGTGCAACTGTACTCTCGCCCGCGCTCACGACCCCAGTTCCACACTGCAATATCCCTCTTCCGGAAGCTGCCATTCTTTTTCAGAGGGTCTGTTAACCATACCCACTGTTTATCTATTGGGCCAATTTGGGGGGTGTCACCTTCGGAATTTCATTATTCCTGTTTATGAGAACAAAGAGGAACCTCCCACACATGAAACGAAAAAGGGACCGGTAGGACATCGGAACCTCCCGGCTCTATCCGTAAAAGAGAGACAGAGAGAACAAGAAAGGGCATACACATACACACATGTATATTTCTTATATATAAAAAATATATATATATATATACACGTACAAAAATATACATACATCCTAAAACCCAGACCGGAAACACCTTGTCAAAGGGGATTTTTATCATCTGGGAAAGAGTTTAGAACAACCTATCCACGGATTCTTGACGGAAGTAAAGAAGAGAAAGACAGAAGAGGCAGTGGCTGTGCCGTGCCTGGTCGCAGGATCGGGGCCATGTAGGCCTGGGGTCCCATTCTCCGCACTCAAAGCTGCATTTATTTTATGTGGCCTTGGCCTACCCCAGGCTCCTGCAAACCTCGGGGGGGGGGGGGGTGTGCGGCTTAAATGGGGTATTATCGCCAGCTGAAACCATGGTTTTTCACTCCTATAGTATTTAGCAGAGACAAGCAGGTGGCGATTATACCCTATGTGCGTTCTCCTAGGGGTGCCGAGCCCGAATTCAATAATTTAAATATTTCCCGAAGGCACTCTTGCACGAGGCAAGAAGTTTTTGATCCAGCTGGAAGGTTTATATGCGCTAGTTGGGTCATCTGTCCTACGAAACAATGAAGGCATTCTGCAGGCATCTCAAGATTTGCTGGAAAGACATTCTAGTTCCTGCGATATCCTTCTCGCTGCCTGTGAAAAAGCGGCTATTGGCCGCATTCCATCAATGGGAAACAATCAGGGTGAAGGCGATAAAGCCGAAGAGCGTGGCAACGCCAGCATTCATTGGACGGTGGCAATGACCAACACAATCGGCAAGCTCTATGTGAAGTTGCCGCTTGTTCCATGAGTTTCATGTAAACAGTGAAAAGACGCTTCGTGTTGAATACATAGTTTACCGGGTTCTATTTAGTTTGTTTGTTTCTGAGTGAAACCTCCCAGGCAAACCTCCTTGCTCAATGATAGTCTCACCAAGTATTCCGTTGAGTGGTGTTCTGTCGAGATTCGGCCCTCCGGTGGTTTTTGCACAACCGATTCCTCCATCATCTTCACTGATGATGGATTGCAGGCAGTTCTCAACAATGTCTATGTCTACCTTCCTCACAGACTGCTGGATCCGGTTACGGATCATGTGAGGGAAAGAGTACACTTGTTCCGGCAAACTACCTACTGGGGCAACGCGGATGCCTTCGAAGTCTTCATGGCCTCATTCACTCTCGCCCTGCGCGGCGAGGACGTGGACCGTGCCTTCTGGGGTATCGGCTCAGGTGGCGTGGGTCAAAGTCTCCAGACAGCGCATTTGGAAGCCATCCTCGGAGAGTACCACACTTGTCTGGACATGAACATCTACTTCGTAGACGAGGCGCGAAAATGAACAAACCGTGACATATCCCTAAAACTGTATAAGACAAGAAGATATAATAGTGGTTGTACGATATGCTTGTATCTGAGTCCAGTAAAGCGTATCTGACAGGAGATGCGGAAGCAAGCGGCCAACCTCGTCGGGAAATTTGTTGTAACCGCACAGGAAAGCGTGAAGGGCTCTCGACGTCCAGTGAGAAAGGACATTTACAAAAAGCACATTCCCGCCGACAAGGTGCGAGAGCGTTTGTTGTACGACATACACATGGCACTGGTGGAATTACGTGGATGGCAAAGATTCGAGCTGAACAGTGTTCCCAAGTTGCTCAGTTGCAGACTGAGATAACCAGGCCGTAACGTCAGCAGCGACGTAATACTGCGATGCTTCGTTGATGTTCGACTGTAACTTAGAGCTCCTCCATACTGTGCAGGTTCTCAGGCGTCACAGAAGAGACCTTGAACTCCATGTTACAAGAGCATGTTCGTGGATGCGACCCGGATAGTTGGCAAGGAGGCACTAGCTGCAACGCATGGTATCTTCCCGCGGGATCCCACCTTTAAGGATTTCCTAAGGGATAGGCCTGCCTGTTTGGTGACACTCCGTTGCTTGTGGAACTACGCACGAAGTCGTACCGCTTTCCAATGTCGTGATGTCCTGGACAAGTATGCTGTTCGTGGCGGTGATGATGGTTTGACTCTGGCGACCATGATCGCCGCTCACCGAAAAGAAGAAAAGCAGACTGTTCAACAGATCCGTCAGTGGCTGTGTGACGAGTGCAAGGACTGGTTCACATTGAACCAGTTGAAGACTGCCAAATCCAAGTTCGTGTTGAATGTCAACAAGCAGGAGGTGCAGAATGTCATTGAGAAGATGACCAAAGAGGGCAAGATGATTTCAGCCCCGATTACGTTGCCATAGGTTGGCCAAACCATGATGTTCCTTCCAACTTACTCGTGTGAAAAGGCACTCGGTGATGTTGTGCCGTTGAAGCACGACCAAATCCTCGTCTTCACGGAAGAATACAATGTTGATCGCGTGTGCTCTCGTTTGGCACCAACTTCTTCCAGAAGCCTGAACCTGAAGACATTGATTCAGCTTTATAGAAAAAGAGTGCAAGGTCCTTCCTTGAAGAAGAGTTCTCCCAAAAGAAGCACACATGCTGACGTCGATGATATGAAACTCGCGCAGTCGCTCGACAGTATGATGAGCAGGGAACGCACGCTGTACCGGGAGATGGAGGATGCAAGGCTAGACTTGCCCGATGTGAGCGACCAGAACGTGACCATACAGCGATCGTACTTCTACCCTATGGATTTTTGATGTCGCCGTTTTGTATCAGAGGTTTGAGCTCAGAACTTATGTCGTCTGACCCGGTCCATCTGCTGTCCAGATACCACAGACTACGACGTGACGGCTTCTATGTTCACTATTGTGGTTCAGTTGTTTGACTTGGTCAAACCCGCAGACCTTGACATACCCTCGTGGCGTGCTGTCGCAAAGGACCGATCGACTGTATGTTCTGCTCATCTGAAGTGCGATGAAACTCGTGGGAAGCAAATTCTTATGGAGGTGGCTAACAGAGCATCGCCTGACAAGTTCGAAAAGTTGACCTGGCACGGCATGACTTTCTTGAAAGCTCTATCGAGTGAAAGCCGACGTCTTCGCATGTTCGCAGATGCAAGAGGAGTACGGTCAACTACGACGTCATTCCAAGACTAACTGGCCGGAAGCCAACAGCTTGGTGGACGCCGACAGAAGACCATATTCTGCAGGTCATGCTCGAAGAGGTGCAGCAACATGGTTTCATGGTCATGTCTCGTGTCATTTTGATGGTCTTCTGCTTGGCATTTCTATGATGACATCAATCGAAACGGCAACAGGAAAGAACATGATCTTGGCCTTGCAAGAAGCAGTACAGCAAAACACGCATTTCAAGGTGGCGATTAAAGATAAGACGTTGCCTTCGTTTGACGTGTATCTGTCCAACAAGCTTAAAGAGAGTGGAGTTGGTGCAGGTCTGGGAACCTCTATTGTGAACTCTTGATTGCCGTGCCGACCTCGATTCCAGCTGCGATGACCTTTCTCGGCGCGGACCTAAAGCAGGTTATCACTCGTCTGCGAAAGGGATCGCCGTCGAATACGAAGGCCGACACAAATCGTGTCCGGCAGTATTCAGACTGGCACGGCTGTGGGGATCTGTACCTGGTCCCGCGGCAGGCGTGCACGCTAGACACCACCAAGGATTTCCTTTTGCATCTCGAACTGTCAGAGTTATCCCTTTGTGTCGGGGTCAAGGTTGTCATGAACGACAGCATTGTCGTTATGTATGCAGGCAAGGTCTATGAGGGCACTATGCACAGCTGATGAGTCTACTCGAATCATACCATGGCACGAAAAACAAACATTCTGTTTTGATATTGTTTCGGAAGATCCAGACATTGATGAATTGGAGGTCGGGTTCTTGATCTTCTGGCCGGATCATCTTCTGTGTCTTCAGTCAAAAAAGACCTGCCTCCATCCGGCAGCATCACGGCCCACAGAATGACGGCGAGGTTGACGTCGAAGGCTGCTCTGTGACGAAGTGACGGAGGCAATCCGTTCAGTACAGACACAAGCTGGAAAATTCATTTCCATCAACGATCTGTCCATGTTGCCCTTGGAGCGGTGTCGATGCTTGGTGGAACATCTGCAACACCAATGTACGGAAGCGAAGCGCTTCTGTCCGGCTGGGACCAAGCAGTTGCGGGTCGTGGCGGCTGATCATGACCGCCTTCATGATCGAACACCGCGACCGACCTTTCTGGCCAGGGCCAGCGAGCTTCTGCGGAAGACCGTCAAGGGCAACATGCCGCGTAACCGCAGCTTTATCGATAAATCCCTTAGCTGTGTCTTTCACTCGGACGGGCCTGAGTTCGTTCATATTCGATCTATAACAAAGGCTACGGGTTTACGTAGAGTGGGTAGGTAACCTATTCTACGATCATGGCTTCGCTGATGCATTCCTCCATGCAGCGGCCGCCCACAATGCCTCTCTACACAAGATACAAGCATATTTCTTGGAAGGGTGCATGAGGGACGATGGGAAGCTGGCATCAGTTATTCCGCGTGGCAACTATGGCTTCTGGATGAATGTCCTCGAAGACCTCATGGGGTCACCTCTCCTTGAAGCATATACGGCAGCGCTCATGGACCGATGTGCAGAAGCTGAAGAATTTAAGTACATCAGCCTGGATGCAACGTTTAAAATCAATCTAAAGAATATCGGCCAGGCAAACTTCCACTCTTCTCTATCGACTCGGTCCCAGGCCATTATCCCAGAGGATGAGGCTGCGTACAAAACCATGACATGCCGTGGCCCTACTGGCGCAACGTTGGCGTTGTGTGGGATCAGATCTGAGAAGTCGCGCATTCTGGCAGATGAATTGAAAAGCAGGTTTACAAATGCGCAGCGTGCACAGGTGTTGCACGTGACATCTGATGCTCCTTCTGCGGAGATGTTTCAGACCTTGAAAGAAGTCCTGCCAAATCTGCAGAGTTTATCGCTGGATGCCATGCATATTGTTATGGTCTACGACCAAAACATGAACAACCGCCGGACCGCGGGGAGTAGATGGCTTGCTGTCATCATGAACATATCTCGCAAGCGGCGCTCTTCTCGCACGCAGGCATCTCGGGGTGAGTTCTACAATGGAGGCACGTTGGGACCAGCGCCGCAGCATGTCAGACCCATGAGAGAATGTCTTTTAGAGCCGGATATGTCCGAAAACGCAGCGAGAGAGCTGCTCGGCTAGAGGCACTGGATCCTGACACTCCTTGGATGACGGAAGTTGACTTCCTCCAAGCCTTGGTAGCACACTTTTCATTCTTTTGAGAAGAACTTCGTGAAGTCACCTTTACAGGGGTTTCGCTGCATCGGCTCATCGTGAACGTGGCCAGCCCTGCCAAGTTGCAATGGCTTCTCAACGACATCAGATACCGCCATTCCATCAATCGGCAAGAGCTACTGCTCCTGCCAAGCGGTACAACGTCTAATGAAAGTCTGCACCGTGAAGTTAATGTGTGGTTTCGGGAAACTGTGACTTGATTGCATTAGCCAGCGTGGCAATCATGTCGGTGCGATCTGTTGCTCAGAACTTGTTGCTGCAGGCCATGATGCACAAGAAGTTGCCGCTGCACAACCAGGCCTTGTATAGACCTATGCAAAGGCAAGTCGCCCAAGGCGAGCTTGTTCACAGAGCATTACAAGGCAATGCACGCAGCATCCTGCCATCAAAGGAATGGAATAAGTGGTGCAAGGATCTGTTGAATGATGACGAGGCGAGACGAAAGGTTCTACATTCGCATTGAGTACGTACAGAGATACGCATGTTTGATTTCTTTATGTATCACGCTGATCGTGACACAACTATATTCCAGTTTCTTGATAGTCAGGATTCAACCTTCGTGATCCTGTCACTTGGCTTTACAAGAATTCGATCGCATTGAAAATTCAATGAAATCTATCTAATGATGGCGGACGAGACGAAAGGTTCTACATTCGCATCGAGTACGTACAGAGATACGTCAGTATAGTCTAATCACGATATACTTACGTCTTTGTCTATAGTATACAATGAAAACCATGGTTTCAGCTGGCGATGATATCCGGTTTAAGCCGGCCGCGGGGAGGGTCAGGCAGGCAAGGCTGGGAAGCGAAAAAGTACTGCGGTCGTCTCTGCTCCTTCCTGGTTCTGTGCGGGCTCCTGAACCCACGGTTTTAGGACTTTACGGGTTCTGGGTGTAGAGGGCTTAGGGTTTCTGGGTTACGGGCTTCTGGGTTTACGGGGTTTAGGGTTAAGGGTTTCTGGGTTTAGGGTTTCCGGGTTTAGGTCGTCTGGGTTACAGGCTTCTGCGGGCTTGGAGGAGGGTTTCTGGGTTGCGATTTTCTGGGCTTATGGCGTACAGGGTTTAGGGTCAAGGTTGTCTGGGTTTAGGCTTTCTGGGTTGCGGGCTTCTGGGCTTACGGCGTACGGGTTTAGGGTTAAGGGTTTTTGGGTTTGGGGTTTCTGGGTTTAAGTCTTCTGGGTTACGGGCTTCTGGGTTACGGGCTCCTGGGCTAACGGGGTTTCGGGCAGTTTAGGGTCAAGGGTTTCTGGGTTCAGGGTTTCTGGGTTGCGGGCTTTGGGCTCACGGGCTTAGGTAGGGTCAAGGGTTTCTGGATTTAGGGTGGGTTTCGGGTTTCTCTGTTCCGGGCTTCTGGGCATAGGGGGTTTAGGGTTTAGGCTTAAGGGATCAAGGGTTCCCTTGGTTAAGGGTTTTTGGGTTTAGGGTTCTGGGCTTACGGTGTTTTGGGTTTTGGGTTTCTGGGTTGGGGTCTTCCAGGCGTACGGCGTACGGGGTTTAGGGTCAAGGGTTTCTGGGTTTAGGGTTTCTGGACTTAGGGCTTGAGGGGTTCTGGGTGTAGGGGTTTAGGGTTGAGGGTTTCTGGGTTTCGGGTTTCTAGGTTGTGGGCTTTTGGGCTTAGTAATTTATGGGTTTGGGGTTTAGGGTTGAGGGAATCTGGGTTTAGGGTTTCTGGGGTTACGGGCATCTGGGTTAAGGGTTTCTGGGTTTTGGGTTTCTGGGTTGTGGGATTTTGCGTCTAGGGCAGCCGAGGGTCAAGCGTTTCTGGGTTTAGAGTGGGTTTAGGGTTTCTGGGTTGAGGGCTTGTGGGCTTAGGAAGTTTAGGGTTTAGGGCTTTAAGAGTTTCTGGTTTAAAACGGGGGTTTAGGGTCAAGGTTTTTTTTGGCAGGGTTTCTGGGTTGCGGGGTTTTGGGCTTACGGCGTACGGGGTTTAGTGTCAAGGGTTTCTGGGTTAAGGGTTTCTGGGTTTAGGATTTCTGGGCTTAGGGCTTGAAGGGTTCTGGGTTTAGGGTTCCTGTGGGAGAGGTGGCGTCGCGCTCAGCTGGCCCACTCTTTCCCCTCCAAACCCGTGAAAGGTTTAAGGTTCCTGGGTTGCGGATTCGGGGCTCACGGGGTTTAGGCCAATTTAGGGTCAAGGGTTTCTGGTTTAGATGCGGGCAGGAGTCGAGATGGCGCCAAACACGGAGAAGCCACATCAACCACACCTTCATCTTTCATCCTCAATATCCTCATCGCTTTTGATGGCAGCGGTTATTGAAAACGCCGATGTCAGACAGAGGGTCCCTTCCCCCCTCCCCTGGATCACCCCTGCCCAAGAAAGAGAGACAAATAGGGACAATTTCCTTTCCTACTTTTCCCCCCGCACACCCCCTCACAAGATAAACAGTGGGTATTTCAAGCACTTCTCGTCTCGTTTCTCTCGGGCTCCCATGTATGCAAATGTCATCCTTAGTGTGGCACGCCAGGACCTGCATCAAAGACTCGGATCCTAGGATGGGTTCACTAGAGCAGTATGAGAGCTTTTGATGGAGGAAGGTCGATATTTGCAACATAGCATGGCATCGCGGCATAGCACAGGGCAGTTTAGCACATGTTGAATCCCAGGATGGGGCCCGAAGTCGAGTAGTGGGTTTGGTTGGGAAGGAACGTGCAAGATAGGGCTAGTATTCCTTGAATCCGTCCCCGCGTTCAGGTGTTCCTTGGCAGGGCGGTCCTGGAAGCGGGACTCCAGTTGCCAGACATGTCATTGGTCAACCCCTGCTGGAGATCGCTCAGTGGCAGAGGACTTCGCCGAAAGACTGTCTGCAACTGTGCAATGGAGAAGGCCTGTGCCAGGTGGGAGCATGCATGAAGCAGCGTACTTGTGGCAAAGATGCAAGTTGCTGGTGAATCATCGGGGTCTCAGGGCTTCGATTTTGTCTACTACTCGTCGACTCAGACCGCTGACTGCGTGCTCAGACACGAGCGCGCGACGAGCAAGGCCTCTCCGTTAGCTTTGGAGGACTCTTCTGTCAATGACTCGTGGCAGGTTTGTGAGACCGGCGGCCTTGCGGGTGCCGCCATGGAAGCTTGGAGCCAGATCGGACTTGACAGTTCTCTTGTCACGCAGGCACGGCTACTCCTCTGTTGCGCTTGGGCCTGGGTGCCTGGTCGCAGGTTGGAGCGGCAAACCGCTACCAGATCATAGAAAGGACCGCTCAGAGGCCGCGGTGGGTGAAGGCATGACAAGATCACGCTCTATTTCGGGAGATTGCCGTGTTGAATAGGGCCCGGCCTCTTTGTGCACTCCCCATCATCCGCCCAGCCGCACTTGCTCGAGCCCAGCTTGCAAGGCAGATGGACTGCGGCGCTTGGCGTGAGGCAAGTGTTGAGATCGCGAGGTCCCGAGTGTGTCCGGGCAAGACTTGCCAGGAGATGAAGCAGAAAATCCGTACCGCCACTATTGATAGCCTGCAGGATCTGCCGTGAGCTGAAAAACAAGGAGCTGGCAACTGCAGAGGGGATGCCTACCTGGATCCCGGATTTGCACGTGGTGTCTCCCAGACATGCTCGCTCACAGCATTCCAAGACAGTCAGTATTCCAGTGCAAATCACAGCGCAGCTGCAAGGACACAGTCTTCAGCACCGTGTAGGGCAACACTGACTTCTTTCAAGTCACCGGTATAGCCGGATATAGCCAGCTACGGTGCGGCTTCGTAAAGCTGCTCTTCATGGCATTGCCGCGATGTTGCACCCACTCCTTCACCTAACGGTGCCGCTTGCCTGGTTGCTGCTACTAGTAAAGTCGCGAAGAGCTCTACATACCTGACAGGCTACAAAACACAGCAGCGCTTCATTCGTGCTGGAGTCGTCTCGGGGGGGCTGCTGTAGCATGTCGACATTTCCCGTCCCGAAAGCTCAGCCCAGCGCATTGCCTGCCAGAGGTTGGGCATTTTGAACGTCAGAACTGTCTTAGTCGAGCCGAACTGACAATGAAGCCAGGCCTGTCGCGACGAGCTGTTGCAGGCCTGGCGCTCCAGTCACCTTGAACCAACCTGGCACTTTCGCATCCGTTCTGTACAGCTCGCGAAAGCTTTCCCTTGCTATTTCGGGCTATCGTCTTTTTCGTGGTGCGATGCGCCAGGCCAGCCAGTCCATCACTGCGCTGCAGGGCGAGAAGAACCGGCTTCTACAGGAGGACCGCGAGCAGAGTTACGATGGTTTGGGAGCAGTTTGACCGATCAGACACCTGCTTGCTTTCTTGCTCTTCTCGCAGGCGGAGGAAGCGGAAGAAGAGGCCCGGGATGGGACTTTTAAGGGGAGTCGAACAAGTTAACAAGTTTGACTGCCACAGCATTGGCGGTTGATCCTCTTATGATGCTCGCTGCAAATCATGTGAGGCCCGGCAGTGGCAGCGAATGGCCGTGGTGCTCTTGCAGAGAGTGGCCGCAGGCACGGCCTGAAAGCCGATGGCACTGGACCCGCATTCTGAAGTCATATCGGCCAACTGCTGGCCGAACATTCAGAAGAAGTCTGTTTTTGTTGTGGTATCAGGTGGAGCTGCCCCCCGCACCCGAACTGCGTGCCCTGCCTGTCTGTCTGCACCTCAAGGGTTGTTGATGCGCAGTCGTTCCAATTTGTAGGCGCATCACAAGTTCGCAGCCGTTATTTGCGGTGGAGGTTCCGGATGAGGCTCGCCGGTTTTGTCTTTGCCCTGGCTCTTGTTCTTGGGCCACTCTTGTGTTTCCGTGCCCAGGTACAAGAAGAACTCAGCGCGCGAATGCTGAGCACAAGGCTCTTATAGCTATATTGTAATGCAGACAGAACTTCGGACACCTGCCTGCACAGCTTCGCACAATGGAAGATTGCGTTCTGTTCAGGATTCTTCGACAGGAGCTTGCCTTCTCGCAGGCACGGCTACAGCAGGAAGAGGCGGGTTTGCTTCTAGCTCAAGTTGCAAGTGCAATGGCATTGTCAATGTTGGGGCAAGGTCTGACAAAGTATCATATTGCGAACAAGATCACCGAAGACAGGTTTGAGTACACTGGACAATGAACCATTACTCGTACCAAAGCCAAACCAGGCTAGAGCCACAGGAAGCACTCGCACTAACGGTTGCCGCCGCTCAAGAAGCTGCAAGCACGTGCAAGCGAGGAAGGTTCTGGTCTACAACTCGTCTGACGTTCGAGAGCCGGGTGCTCCTTTCGTCAAAGCGTCCGGAAGACAAGATCCCTCCTCGAGCAGGCCGAAGTGGAGCAGCTGGTTGCCGACCTGGACGATCTGCGCATGAAGGAGACTGGCCGTTTCCAGCGGCGATTGCAGCGCATGTGCCGATTTACAAGCGGCCTGTTTCCGCCACGGAAGCCCGCTTCTTGACAGCTAGTGACCTAGTTGACCCAGTTTTGAACGTAGATCCATCGATCCGGACCGATCCGGCATGTCACGGAGCACGTGTTGATCTGCCTCTTTTCGATCCCAGCAAGACGATGCATGAGACGCGAGGTTGCAGACTGCCCAGTGTTACAGAAAATCCTTTCAGAAAGCGGGCTGCGCGAACTTGGCCAGTTCGGATTCATGTTTCAATGTTCGCACAGGCTTCGATCCGTGTCTAAACCCGAGTGGCTATCCTGTGCTGCAGATTGTTGCTGGCACTTTTGGGTTACGGGTTGCTCTCCAGCTGGCTGAGTAAGTGCCTTGAATGTTGAAGGCTGTCGTCACTCAACCCGAGGTTGCGGACTGACCGCATACCCTGTTCAACAACAGCAGAAAGACAGACTAGAATAATCGTTTAGCATTGTTAGATGCCAGCTGACCCGTCCTTGGTTGCTTGATGCTACGCAGGAGACTGGCTCTTGCTGCAACAGGTTTCCGGTGTCGGAGGTTGAACTTTACCGCTGCGTTTCGCAGGTGTCTCAAGTGCTCTGTCAGGTCTGAGGTTACATAGGTTTTCTTGTGCCATGCTGCTGGCTTTTCTGTTGAGCCTCTGCATCTTTTGCATGGTACCTTGAGCTTCAAACTTCGAAAGCAGCGTTGCAGCAAGCATGCTTCAGGAAAGTGACAGTCAACATTTCCCTTGGGGTGATGTGTTGTGCCCACGTGAGTGGTGGGTCTGTTCCAGTCTGCAAGAACGACTTCGTCTCAAGTTTCACAAGTCTCCCCAGTGGAGGGACGTGGAGCGCCGAGTATGTTTTGGTGCCCATTCCTGAACTCAAACTCTGAGCTCTCAAGCGTAGATGCTGTTTGTTGTCTTGCTAGTAAAGTCTGGAGGAGCTCTCCGCAGAAGCCACCGTCCAACACCGCGAGTGGCGTTCTGCGACAGTGCAGAGTGGCTTGATTGCTTGGAGCGCCACCGCACTTGTGACCGCAGTACGACCGTCATGTTGACCTTCTGAACTGAGGTGTTCGACAAAGCATTGCAAAGCAAGCCCAGGCCGGTTGAAAACAGTGAATATTGTAGGCAGTTTGTCGTCATGACTTGTGTGCTTATCATACTCGAACGTAACGGTGGTGTGGCGGGGCTGCTCTTCTGTCTCGCCGTGGTTGCCGGAGACCGTTGCTGTCAATGTCCGCAAACTAGTTTTTCGGCTGAAGCATCTGCTGAGGAGCCGATTGGGATCCTTGGTTTGGACAGATGGCCTTGACGCTTCAGTACTGCCGCACTTTCATAGATGCACAGGAAGGTGCAGCGAATGTTCAAAAGCCTCGGTCTTCCAGCACGCCTCCTTGCCTTGGTCGTCAGAGTTGGGATACAAATGCCCGCCGCGAGGAAGAGGCATTGAGGACGTATGTCACCTCCCTCACCACCAACGTGACTGACCTCCGCCCTGAAAAGGACCCCAGGGCTGGCGAAAAACATCCTCCTCCCAAGCCCGAAGAACAAGCAGCAGCAGCACCGACCCTCGGCGATGTGACCGACTGCTTCCTATTTCCCAGCAAGGGAAGTGTGGGCCATCCTGAGCTGTGCCATCGTCCCTGCATCTACTTTGCTTCAGGCCACTGTGAGAATGGCAGGGCCTGTGGTTACTGCCACATGGAACACCAGGAGAAGCCCATAAAGTTAGACAAGCAGCAGCGGGCGATGGTTCACAGTCTTAGCAAGCCTCAGGTTTTGGCAATCATGCTCCGGTACCTCAAGCCAATCGCAGCAAGGCAAGGATTTGAGCTCCAAGCCGCCGAAGTGGTGCAGCTTGTTGAGCGCGAATTCGCCTTGCATGGACAACCAGCTGATGAAGCTTTGGCAGAGATTCCGGAAAAAATCATGAAGAAGCTGAGCAAAACGCTGGACAGGATGCGATTTTCGGGAATTTTGGGGCTTGCATCGCAGGAGCAGATAGGCTATCCCTTCCGACAGCACATGATTGAGGCACTGGAGAGGCTACGCGCAGCAGCATTCGCACACGATCTTACAGAGCACAAGTGAGTGCTTGCATAGCCAAGCTGCATGGGCTGTTCGTCGCTGTACCCTGGTTCGTCGCTGTACCCTGGCCAGAATTTTTCAACAGCCTTGGCTGGCCAGTGATGTACTGACGTACAGCTGCAGATCATTCCCATCCTCACAATGTTGACAGCATTTTGGCGCATACAGAAGTAATCCAAGTGTTTTTGAGAAGTTCTCATGAGCTCGTCTTTTCCAGAGTGATATGCAGAGCATGTGATTCCCTGCCAAAAGGCACAGGGATGTAACACTATCCAGCCTCGCCAACCCTTCCTGGTGACACTTTGCGTGACATAACAGCAAGTGCAACCAGGGGTTTGGCTGCGAATTCAAGTACAGGTATTCGTCATTTCATCACCAGCCTCGTTTGGTGGCTTGAGTGGACTGCTTCTCAGCTTACCTTGAAGCTGACTTTCGTGGAAACGGCTGTGTCGGGTGCAATTAGTCTTGAGAGCATAGTGTGGAAATGAACCAGCCTGCACCGGGCACAGACGTGAAAAGTGCAACTGTCGACTGGCTTCCATCGGGCTTGTGCCAAGCGTGCAAGTATTGCGCCCCTAGAGCCAGTTGGTATGCGCTTCCTTCCAGAAATTTTGTGACGATGACAGCGATTTGTCCAGATGTTCGCTGCAGGTCCTGAGCGCTGCAGGTAAAGCGCGCCTCGCACCTTTCGTCGACAAGCTGCCGAATGTACGAAGTTTTGAGGTGAGATGACAAATGGCCCGTGCCGGGCAGTCCAAGCTATCAGGGGATCAGGTAGTTCTGCATCGTGCACGCGTTTGATGTTGTTTAGGGAGGTCCCCCCCCCCCACACGAACAACAGCATAGCCACGGCCCCACCCACCTTCCCAGCACTGCGCACCTGGAATTCCTCGCGTAGGATTCATGCCGTGCTTAGTGCTTCGGATCGCAGGCCATCGCCATGTACGAGGACCGGGCGCACGGAGCAGAGCTTCACGTGGATCGACTTCGCGAAGAGATTCTGCAGCTTCGGCAGGCCAGGAATCCTGTTTCTAGGACAGTGCATCCCCATGCTTCTTTGGGAGGTCGCCTTGGTTGTCTAGCTACGCAGGAGGGTTCAGACTTCAGACTTCATACCAGCGATGCGAAGATTGTGTCCATTACCTCGACACTGCTTGCTTGGAATTGGGGTTGGCTCTTGTTCTGAAGCTTGTTGATGGTGGGGATCTTGGTTGTCGTTGCTGTCGGGGACATGGAGGAGCCACTTTTTATCCTATCGCCAAGACTGGACTTCTTGCAGTGAAGCTCGAGGATGCTTGCATTGTACCAAAGTACGTGACCTGACCTAACCCAGCAAGCCTGTCACAGTAGGTTTTGCAGTTACGCTGTTGTGAATCGGAAAAACCGGTACTGGTTCACTGACTTGGCTTTTTGTTGTAGTGTGCGATCCCGGCCATATGATGTCTCTTGTGTCGAGATCACTGCCTTTCGTCGGTGGAAGCCCTGCATCTTAGTTCCTGGTTGTTGCTTGTCGAACGAGCAGACACTGACAACATTCGTTCATGTGCCCTTGCCATGCGACTGAAGCCTCAGATTGCCTTATCTGCGCAACATATGATCCTTGCTGTATCTGGGGGACGTCAGGCGCTTTCTCACATGTCCACGGTCCCCTATGCTGGGAGAAGAGATGCCCCAGACAGAAGAGGGCCTGCAACCGGGACGCGCAGAGCGGAGAGAGCATGCATTGCTTGGCGCATTCGATCTGCGTGTTCGGAGTCCCGCGGTTTACGTCCACACTCCTCACCCGCAGTTCGGCTGGCAGGGATTCGGCCAGTTGCGCGACGACACAACTCAGGACGTTGCACTGTTAGATCCGCCGCTTGCTGGGAGGGGGTGCTTTGCCTACAAGGTCGTGACACCTTTCTGCGGTAAGGTGAGAGGGAGCACAGCCCTAACGAAAGGGTGATGACGACGACTGACAGAGCTCCCGGGCAACACCCCGAGGAGCCGCAAGAGCTCCGAAGCTGCACTTTGAAACCGCCGTGGGAGTGCTGTTGCTTTTGCGTTTTGAACTCGGAACCCTGATTCGCTGCGGGCTAGCCGACAGCTTTGAAACCTGACGTATGTCGACCCTCGGATGGGTCGTTTCGTTGTTTGCTTTGCGATTTCAGGTGTTTCCGTTGGCCCAAACACACCTTTAAGCTAACCGTTGCTGTGCATGTGAGGGGGCCTCTGGGACTCTGGCACAATCGTCGAAGCAGTAAAGACTGCGGAACAGGGGGGGCCGGAGCATGCACCAACCTTTGTGGATGAGGCAGGGGGATGGTTGCGCAGAGTTCCCGTACCGACGCGAGTCACTACGGCCAACAATCCTCGCCTCATCTACGGTACCAATTCGGCAAACCAGACCACGGGGACCAGAGTGCGTGCGTGGGGTGCGAGTCCCTACTCCGCTGGGGCCATTCGTCTTCTCACCCTCTTTTGCCCGCCAACAGCACGGGTGGGCTGGCGCCCGGGAGCCTTGACCGGCTCCTATGCCCGGAGAGAGGAATCGCGGGGGGGGGGGAATTCTTTAATTACTTCAACTCAACTTTTTGGAGCGTTGAGAGCGGACCCGTTTTTCCCAAACGAATCCGTCGTGCGACTGACCCTGGGTAACAAGCTTTCCTCTTCTGTTGTGAGAAAGGAGCCCGAACCGGAGGAGAATACCGCCAGCTGCACCATGCGAAGTGCCGCAAAGGGAGCTTCAGTTAGCTTGGATATTGGTTCAGGTTGGGGACTCCGCGTGTGCTCAGCTTGCAGTGCTTTCTCCAACATGGGAATGGGCTTGGCCTGGCGGACGGAAACCTGGAAGGCCTTCGGGCCAGGGTCACGACCCCCAAACCCGCTGCACGCAAGCAAGAGAATGATGCGGACCAGATCAGCGCATTCGCGTGCAGGGAGGGTAGGGGTTTTCTGTCTTCGTTTCTTTTGGCGGAGTGCGAGAAGGAGAAGAAGACTTATGCATGCTAGCCGTCATTTTAGTCACGGATTAGACAAAAAAGTTACAGGCAAGTGCTGCCCATGCCTGCGATACATGATATTTTTGCTGCTGAATGAGGGACGCAGGTTTCTGAATCCGCCTTGGACAATTGGCCGTTTCTCCTGCAATACTTCTGTCCAGTGTTGAACGTAGGTGTTGCAAGTGTCTGCTGCCAGAACTTGTCAAGATTGCAGGAAGAAGCCAAAGCTGCAACGGAAGAGTGCCGGACGATGTCCCGTCGCATCAGCTTGGAGAACGATAGACAGTCCGTGACTTGGCCTTGACAGATCTCCGCAGGATGGCAAGCTTGTTGAGCTCATATGCCTCAAGCATGAAGACTGATCTAATGCTGCCCAAACTCAAGACTGCTCCAAAGACTCACCCTAGACTCTTAGTTTCCGGAAGCGTGGCCTTTGTGTCATTGAGGATTTTGCTTTGCTGCGGCATGGCGGTACCCCAGTCATCAGGAAAAAAGCTTGCCAGACCTCTGATCAGGAGCTTCGTAGCGTGACGCTGGCTTTGTCGTCAGCCCAGCTGTCCACCTGCTCGTGCTCAGGAACGTTTCGCTTTCACAATTAAAGTGCCCAAGGTGCGAAGAACTTGCAAGCTCGAATCATGAAGCAGAGAGTGTGCTCGAGGACATCGCACGTGAAGAGAGCGTATACTGTACACTGATGAAGTGCCGGCTGGTGATTTCGAGCCTAGTAGATCCGCTGCTAGTATTCGTGTGAGGAACTTGAAATCATGCTTTTTTGATGCAGGTTCGTTCGCATCAATCACAGAGTGGTCTCACTTTCACTCACATTGTATTAGCCTGTCTTCATTCTCCCATGAGGAGCAGCTGCGCTCGCCTCATCTGGCACATCGTCGGGTGAGCCAGGGGTCGCGGCTGCGGCTTCTGCTTGGTGAGAATACACCGCGCAGTCAATGAGTCAAGGATTGCATCAACTCCATTGCCCTGCCCGGCCTGTGGAAGTTTTGCAGCGGATGGCGGCGGTACAGGGACCGGCAACGGATGCCTAGCGCTGACGAACCTGGTATCTCTGCACACTGGCAAAATGCAGCTACTTCATCAATATGCCGTCCAGGCCTGCTCATGCTCTTCTGTTGATGCGTCGCAGCGGATAATGACTTGACAATCCCGCTGAGAATAGTGGGCACAATTGGCGAGCCATGTGGAAGTGCCACTGTGATCTCCGGATGAGGCGAACCAGCAGTCGGTGGTGGCTTTCTGTTGAAGTGCCTGGGTGAGCGCGCGAATCTGTTCTCAATATTTCTCCGACCAGATAAAGCAAGGACAACACGCCGGCTGCAGCGCCTTGAGTGCATTCCGAATGGACAGAAGCGTGCATCGAATCGGAAAAAAGGGCCTGGCTTGATAAGCCAAAACTGACTCGCCCAGTCCGCCTGTAAGGACTAGATGTGTCCTGTACACACAGAGCCCACAGTCACATAAATATATCGCCTTTTGCCAGACGTAGTATGAGCGGACCGCCACCGCTGGTGTAGCCCGCGGAATCTATTTTCCTCTTAGCTGTGCCGCCCACCCCACTCTTTTTGCTTCAGGGTAGGTGCATGGGATCACGGCATTAACCTGTTCGCATTCCAGACAGCAACCATTGAATCATGCTAGTCGTAGCAGCATAAACATTTTGCTTCCCGGAATAGCCTCGACGACGGCGGAACAGAGCTTTGCAGGCAGGATGGAGTTGGAAAGTAGATATGTCGAGAGCGTGCTGCTCGAGCTAGTGTGCCTCGGAGGATGGACCACCTGACGGAAGAGCAAACTTTCAACCAGGCAGCTCACGTACGCGTCTTCCAAAGTCCAGCACGTGGGACGACAGGAATCTTCGCTAGACGCTGTTGACTGGCACAGGTGACCATGGAATGGGACGGCTACAGCTCGCATCTGAGTGAGCAACGAAGCGCAGGGTTCAGGCAAGGTTCAGGGTTTACATAGTCAAGCAACGTAGCAGTACTTGATGCCTGGGTCCACAGATCCATGCATCACGTTTCGGCGTTTCTGTTGAAGGGTTTTTCTTCTCAAGCATGTCTGATCACGGGATTGACTTTGGTTCGTGGAGGTGTGCTGGAACCCGAGCCTGTCGACTGTTCGGCCAAACTTGTTTTCGGGTTGCAGTTGTTTGGAGTAGCCGCGGAGTCGAATCGTTGCCTGAGGTTGGACAACTTCACCATCGACCGAGGTGAGCATGAGCATAGCAGAATCTCGGATGCTTTACTCGACTTGTATCGTGTCGGCACAAATCTTGCTGCTCTTGCACAATGCTGTGCTGTGCCTTGCTTTGGGGCAAGGACGTCCTGGGAAGCCACGTTATGCAAACCAAACTGCTAGAGGCCGACGCTGCCTCGGCACGTTGCTATCCACTGGCTTCCCTGCATCTGCATCTTGCAGGCAGCACTTTCAACATCATCGAAAATCGGTGACTTGAGGACAGCCGAAACTGCTGCATGTTCACCGGGCATGGCTTCGCACAATGCCTGAAAGTGCTGCCCTGAGGGCGTCGCTGACAGCTGCTAATGATGAGCTGTCTGCCAGTGCCACGATGGAGTCTGCGGCCCGATTTGTGTGACCGAATGAGACCCAACAGTCTAAACCCACCCGGAGGATGGAAGCCGTGCTTGGAACGGTTCCAAGAATCATTGGTCTATCTATCTAACGGACCCAGATGTTCTGAAGCCAAACCCAACTGCACCAACAACCATTCTGATCTGCAGTACAGCGGCTCTTGGCTGAAAACGGAGACTCGCTGTCGTCCGCCGGCTGCTGGTCATCATCAGATTCAACAGCTTCACGCTAATCCATTTCCACATCACCGACACCACCGCAAACATCGTCATCGTCATCTGGAGCCATCATGTTTCCGAACGCTTATCGAATATTTGCGGTATAACAACTACCGAACTCCGAACTCGGAAATGAATCATAATTGGCGCTTCAACTTCTTTACTGTTGTGATCATGACGATGACATACGAAGCTTTCCAAGGAGACATTGACTGATGTCAAGGGCGGCTGACAGACACTGGTGCCAAAACACTGCTGACGTGGCAAATTCGTTGAGCTCATGACGACAAATTTTCTGCATTGATAACGATTTGTCCTGTCATTCTTAGCAGCACGAACAACATCTAATTTGAAGCCCCCAAACTTAACCGTTTATCAAAGCGGGGTACCAGGCAACGGGGTCCCAAGGGCAGTCTGCAAGAGCCATCCGTCAACGACCGGAAACCTGTTACAGACAAGCTCTCTGAACATGTGTGTTTGCCATTGAGGTCCGGTTTCGCCGTGGATCCTGCAAGTGTGCTGCTGGTGGATCGGGTGCTGCGTGCCGACAGCGGTAGCAGTTGTTTGTGGCCGATCGCAGTGAATGCAGGCTTTGCAAGGTGTCCTCAACGCTGGGCGTACCCCAGCTAACAGACGTCAAAGACTAAAGGCGCCATGTGCACAGACGCAGACATGTTCGGACCAGTTGTGTGTCTTTCCACATCTTCTGGCACGGCCAGGCCAGTCACTTCTTCTGACGGTTGCCGCATCGGATAATGTCCATCGAGGAAGCATGAGATTTACCTCGTCAGCTCGAAAACGCATCCTGCTCTCAGCACAGACATGCAGGGGATTGCAGTGCTCGTAGGATCTCAAGTTTCTGCCTGCATCCGTGCGACTGAAGCTTGCATTCATGCCGCCGCACTCAGCCGGCTCAGTCTTCGCAGAGCGACCTTGTACATAGCCTGCAACGCACTTTCGCCACCCGCGCAGCACCCAAGCTCGAGCTTCAAAATCTCGTGCGCCGCTGGCGAAAGTGTTTTGCTGCTCTGAAGAGTCGGCTGCAGGCCGCTTGACTGGATGTGTAGCTCGACAGCCTGCAAGCACTGTTAAATCAAACGATTCGCCATGATTGCGACAGCTCTTGGAAGTTCTTTCCACCCAACATAGTTTTACTTGTAGCTCTTGGCAGCTCTTAGCTCAGAGCTGCAGCCGCTGCGGCCACTGTGCCGCTTTCCTGTGGATCGCGAGCTTCGGACCGCAACGTGCCGCGCGCATTCTCCAAGCTTCGCACTGCACTGCTCGTGTTGTGAAGGACGGCGGTCCATGCTTGCGGAGATGCAGGAATTTAAGTTGGCACAAGTGCCGGTACAGTGCGCGTCGTCCAGCAGCTTGTGCCGGTGTGCAGGACTCTGACGCGAAGTGGGGTAACGAAGACAAGCGGGAGGTGGGATCAGCGATCCGCATCATTGCAGAACAGCATTCCGAGCGGCAGGGCGAGGAGGCCTCCTGGTTGGAGTCGTTTCCTTCGCAATGGTTTCTCGTAAGATCCCTGGCACTCTCGTCAAATTCGATGAAGTTGTACGACCGGTTGAAAAGTCTTCAGGATGCGGGGGAGCCCCTGCTACCTTTCTGGATTGATGAGAAGGAGAAATCCGAGCATGTCGCCTTTGCCTTACCTGCACGCCTCGGGGTAGATTTGAAGAAGTGCTGACTGATTGCAAATCCAAGGAGGCAATCTTGGAATTTCACACTGAGCCGTGTGCAGACTTTCAGCGTGGCTTCTGTGCCAAACATGGCATCCGCGGCAAGGCTCCGGTGCACGTGTAACATTTTCGCCAAGGAGACTGTCCTGTTTGGGCGAGGTAGCGAAAGGATTCCGAGCCGGCTGGGTCACACGAGTTCGATTAGTAATCAAGTAATACGTCATTTTTCAAAGGTAGCCCTTTACGGGCCGGTTGGAATTATCCAAATTCGCAAGACCTTGCCGAAACACTCGGGTCATGAAGGCGCTTCAATGCCGGGGATTCCACTTTGAGCTGGAACCTTATTTGCCGGCGGACAGAATCTGCGAGTCTTTGTGGAACGCTTCGTACCGATCGCGTGTGCTTGAGTTCGCAGCGTCGACGGAAGCCCGTGGATCTCACGACCGGTCAGCTGTGGTTGCCTCAGTGAGACTTCGAATGCGGCATGAAGCTGCAGCCTGCTGACTTCATCAGGACATACTGGGAGACACCCTGCCCCTCATGGACAATGGAGATGGGCTTCTGCCACGGCCTCAAAGTGACGCATATACAGCGACTCGATCAGCGTCGCCGAGAAAGGTTGCATGGCGGGAGATGCCTGTCCTTTCGCCCATGGTCGGGAAGAGGCAGCTCTCCTTGGCGAGAGGAAGCAGTGAAGGACCGGCTGACTCCTCGTCACCAGGTCTCTTATCACCCAGCCAAATACAAGACACGGCCATGCAATGGTATGCCCCTCGGACGAGTCTCAAAACCGCAAAGAACGAGTGTGCTGCTGGCTTCAGGCACGGATTGTCGTGGTGAGGGGGCATGCTGCTTCGCTCATGACGAGACAGAGATGAGGCCTTGGCTCTTCGTTTTTCCTGTTCAGGTCATACCGTCTCAAGTCGCTCCAAGCCATTCCAGATAGCATGTGCTGCCAGCTGTTACCAGCATGCAACACTCTAGCATGCTTGACGAGGCAAAGTGCTCCGGGAAGATACTCGTATTTCGCGCTGTCATCGCGCTGCGCTCAAATCTTGCCTCTGCAAGGCCAGTGACACTTGCGCGTGTGACAGCCTGAGGTCAAAGGTGCGGGCTGGTGGCTCTCGAGTTCCTATCCTGGAGACAAGCAGGTCTGCCAAACGCAGATGAGGCCTCAGAAGCAAGTCTCCAGAACTGCAGCCAGGCGAGTGGCGGACACCGGTACCCGGTCAGGCAGGACACGATCTTGTGCTTCGGGTAGGCCATCTTGCAAGTGTGCCTGCACAGGCGGGGCTTTGAATCCAAAAGCCCGCTTCTGTGCATACTATCCGCGCCCTGCCTGATCGTGGTAGAGTGTCGTCAAGCATCCCTGCTCTTGAGAAATGGCGAGGCATGTTGGCCAGTGCCGGCGTGGCTCATCGTGCTCTTTCGCGCACACTCGAGGGGAGGTGAAAGGGGGCGTGTCGCTGCGGAGCAACGGTTGCAACCGCGAAGAGCAAGCATCACGGCAGGTTCAAATTCCGCTCCTGTCTGTTGCGGAAGAAGAGCATGAGGAGAGCGCGATGACACCGGAGTTCTTTACGAGGACTATGCCAATTTGCATTCCTACATTGGAGCCAACAGCGGAGGGCCTGAGACCATGATTGGAGAGCAGTCAGTACAGTGTTAGGGGTTGGGCTGAAAGTCACGGATGCTGTTAGCCTTTTGTGGTCTCAGCAGAAGGAAATTCAAGACGACGTGGTGTCCAATCGGTGGCGGGCACAGACAGAAGAAAGCTGTCTGCTATTGTCATGACAAGACAAGTTGACTGTGCAGCTCCGAGCCCAGGCGCGCAGCACGATTGGCAGATTTGCGTGCTGCCCTGAGCAGTGGTACATGTAGAGCAATTGCTCTTCGTCGAGTGAGTATATCGCCCATCGCTCCCGCTGTAGCATTGATCGGTCGGTTTGGAAGCTGATTCTCGATCAGCCGTTGTCACTTCCACGGAACCATGAAAGGAGTTGCAAGCGGTGAGGGTGCAAAAACCCTGAGTCCTGAAAGCAGTCACAAAATCAGCTGGAGAAGTGGGCCATTTGAGAACCCTTGCTCTGGAAACAGCAATCTCCGCGAAACAGCAAAAGATGTTTTCAACGCCGATGCACGCCCGACTGCACAGTGCGGGGAGAAGCAGTTCAGCGGGAAGCAAACTAGTCAACTAGTCTTTGAATAAAAGAACGGTGCAAAACATAGCGGAGCTTCAACATGGGTCTGCATGAACGGTTTCGCTCCTCTTTGCCTGTCCAAGTTGAGCAGTTGCGTTGGCAGTTTCTGGGGTTCGTTGGGTGCCAGGGGTTTCAGAGATGAGGGTTTCTGTTTCCGGGCTCCTTCCTTGCTTCAGCCCTCTTTGAGCAGGTCTACGCGCATACGTACCAGGCAAGCGCTGTTACCTGTGGGAGGGCGGTGCTTCGATGCGCTTTGTTCCCACATAAAAGCGCAGCATGTGCGATGATCCCTCATGACTTGTAGCGGAGCCGATCGATTGAGTCGCAGTCCGTGAAGATTGAGATGAACTTTCCGAGCCCATGCATCTTGCCAGGATGCAAGACGCGAGGCCTATGACTGATTGCATCGGACTTGAGATGATTTGGGCATCATGCCGTCTTAGCGTCATGCTCTACTGCTGCAAGCACTATCACTATCAATAATCTTGAACATGCCAACGCTCGTCGTCACAGCCTGATCTGAAATGCCAGCCATCGATTGGCTACGGGCCACAGCCATGCCCTTTCTGGGGAAAGAAGGACCGAACACGGGATGCTTCCTCATCTCGTCTTGGTGCACTGTAAATGTGATCTGCTGGGCAGTGTGATTGAGGACACCCGAGTCCGCCTCCTGGTTCTCCCTCTCACAGAAATGCTGTGTGTGTGTGCGGACCTGCTCAGTGCTTGTGAAGTTACCAAGATCGTGCTGCAACCTCCAAGGTCTCCTATTCGCAACGTTGCCCTTTGGGCCTTCGCTGCCCGTATGCCCACGGGGCGAAGGCTCCTCATGGGTTACATCTCGTGGGCACCAGGGCGAAGTCATAGACGACACTAGTCACTAGTCACTGGCAGTGAAGCAAA